GTGAATACTCAGTTGATGGATTTAAGCCTTGTCTTGCATGTCCTTTGGGGACATATCAGCCTGAGCCAGGTCGAACATCTTGTTTTACCTGTGGTGGAGGTTTGATGACAAAACTTACCGGTGCAACAGTGTTTCAGAATTGTGAGACTAAAGGTAAGAACCATGAATGCACGAGGAACATAGGCAACCACACTTTTCATTTCCACCTTTTAAGGGTGAAAGCATTCCATTCAACTGCAAATATGAAAGTTGGAGATCTATTCTATTACTTAGAATACTGATCCTGTTTAATAGCCAGAAGAAGTGCTCATTCTCACAATAAAACTCACATTCACATCCGGTGTCAGGAACAACATGGTGTCGCCATGGTGGCAATAGCCGTGCCTTAGATAACCTCATTGGCTACGATGCTGCCACTGTGCAAAGCAGGTGACATTTCCTGCCGTAGACCTTGGTATCACCTTTAGGCCTCACTCTGATAGGCAGCAGAGCCGCTGATAAACTCTGAGGCAAGGGCTGAGCAGCTGGAAAGCACTCAAAGCATGCTGGAGGCAACTCCTCCCTTTTCCATTCATACACATGGCCCAAAGTGCTTGTTGGGCAGGGACTAATTGGAAAGAATATATTCAAGCAGGATAGACTAATCCTCAGGACTTTTTTCCTATATCAAGAGTGGGAAACCTGAAGCCGTCCAGATGTTGTTGGGACTCCAACTTCCAGCACCCCTAGCCAGCATGAACAATGGGAAGGAATTTGGGGAGTTGTAGTCAAGGCCGTAGGCTCTCCAACCCTGCCCTACCTATATGGACTTCACTTTCTTAAAGGAATTGCATGCATACACCACACATATACCTTCTTGTGTGGTGAATACATATTTATTTTGCCAGATTCGACATGCACTGAAACTTCCTGCAAAGTGATAGGTGCCCACAGTGTGAACTCACAAGTGAAATTAGCATATACATTCTTCATCTGTGGCAGTGTGCATGTTGGATGTACACAATTTTTCTGTGCAGAAAATTAGTCTTGGATGAAATGTCATTCAGTGGAATGGCTGCAGTTAATCATGTCACCGCTTATCAAAGCTATTGTAGCATGTTGCTTGTTCACCACCTTCTACAGTGCAGTGCTCACCTGGTCATTTCTACAACACTACAACACATCGTTGTATCCGCTGCTCTGTTGGAACATACCAGCCTGAGTTTGGACAGAATTACTGCATTTCATGCCCTGGAAACACAACCACTGATTATGATGGATCAACAAATGTAACTCATTGCAAAGGTAAATATTGATAATCTATGTTGTAGTCAGTCCAAAATGAAAGGACCTAGTACCAACTGCGGTGGGGATAGATGCTATTGGTCTTTCCTTAAGTGAGCAGAAGCCATATCCCCACCCAACAGCAATCACTCCTTGTTAGCCATATCCTGCTTTGGGATGTAGACTTTCCTAACCTGACTTCATTGCTTTCTTTGGTGTCAGTCTCCAAGTAGCCCTTATCAGTGGACATAGGAAGGAGCTGTTGGTGTCCTCTGCAACAGCTTCTGCTTCAGTTGTGCCAAGTTCTAGACCCTAAGCCTAAGGCAATTCTTCCAGGCCAGGCTTTCTCTAAACACTAAACCAGCCTTTCCAGAACTGATGCCCTCCAGATGTTTTGAACTACAACTCCTATTGTCCGTGACCATTGGCCATGCTGGCTGGGGCTGATAGGAGTTGTAGTCCAAAAATCTGAAAGGACACTAGGTTGGAAAAGGCAGCTGTAAATGCCTCCCAGATAATACCAATTTCCTGCTTTTTCTGTCATTTATTTCCACAGACAAAGCTATACTGTATATGGATTTTGCTCTGTTTTTAGTCATCTTGAAGCAGCTACTCAATAAAAATGGTCTAAGGAATAAAAGATATGCCTGATTCCTAGATAGTAGCCAAAGTAATTGTATCAGTTGTGATTGCTGCTGGTGGCATTGCACAGGTGTGAATATTGCTTTCCCCTCTGCCCTGGCTATGGGTAACATATTTCCTTTTTTCCAGACAGGCACTGTGGTGGTGAGCTTGGAGAGTTTACTGGATACATTGAATCCCCAAACTATCCTGGAAATTATCCTGCAAACACAGAATGTACTTGGAGTATAAATCCTCCTCCTAAACGCCGCATCCTGATTGTGGTTCCGGAAATATTTTTGCCAATAGAAGATGAATGTGGAGACTACCTGGTGATGAGAAAAAGCTGTAAGTTAAACTAGGTTTCCATGTCAGGTATATGAATGTATTTCTCCTGATGGATCTTTGCTACATTTTGTCTGTGCCAAAGCAAGTCCTGTGAAAATCTGGCTCTAAAATGTAGTATAACAGCCTTCGTAACAATAAATTCCAGCCATTATGGGTGAAACACACACACACACACACACACACACACCACCGATCAGACATATTTTAGATTTAGTGGGGAACTATAGTGATTTGTGGTGGGTGGAGGAGGTAGGGAATTCATCTTATTTTTTTACACAAACATGCTTGCCTTTCCTGGGGTGTACATCTGCCAGCTGGTTGAGTGGAGCCAGAGAGCAAATGATCTGCTGATGGCTGCAGTCACAAGACCACTAAGTCCTAAGATGAATGGGCTTTTGGCAGCAGCAAGCAGAGTCAACCATTGAAAATGACTGTTTTTGTAGAATGGTTCATGAGGGAAGAAAACTAAGAATCCCTGTGACTTACGTGTGTGGGGTGAATAACGAAAGAATCGGGGTGCCTGAATTCAAAATGCAGGGCTAAATTAAGTCTCCAGCGGAAATTCCAAGTAACAGAGTTTAAACTCACCAAGTCAAGCAGCACAGTGAATTGTTAGGAATGTAGGCTGTTAAACTTTTTGCAAATCCAGTTTAGTTCGCTTTGTGAAGTGGTTCCCTTTTTCTACCACCCTTTGCATTGAACAGACTATATATACTGCATATACTCTGTTAAGTAAGTTTTAAATGCTTTAAATGTTACAAAACATTTGAAAGGTCAGATTCATGCATTTATCCAAGCAGCAGCAAGGAGAACACAGGCAGAATAGTCTTGGATAAAAACATTCAGTTACAAGCTGTGGAGAGAAAGGGGACAGGAAAAGAAGGCTTCACTTCCTCCCTCTTTGGAGAAGGGGCATGACCTAGCTGAGTCTAGGAATCCAGCTCTATAGTTGTAATCCCTTAAGCACTCGTACATATTTGTGTTTGGCAGCAATTTCCCACTATTTAGCCCAGGCATAGGCAAACTCAGCCCTTCAGATGTTTTGGGACTACAGTTCCCATCATCCCTGACCACTGGTCCTGTTAGCTAGGGATCATGGGAGTTGTAGGCCAAAAACATTTGGAGGGCCGAGTTTACCTATGCCTGATTTAGCCTTTGCAAATCTAATCCCCCCCCCCGCTCTCCATGCTTGTAGCAGCTTTCAATCCACCAGCTTCCTGCTGCCACAAGTTTTGTTGAGCTCAGGAGATCCTGAAATGTAGTGGTCTTACAGCACTGATAGCATGCCTTTCCATTCAATGGGGATACTTTGGCTATGTACACATTAGCTTCCCCACCCCCCAGCAGCATTTCATGCTGCATTTGCACATTGCTATGCATACCAGAGGGGCCATTACCTGTTTGGTTTCCTTATGCATGCAACTCCCCAACTCCTATTCATGAAGCTGTGATCTGTGCTTGTGCAACAGTTGTTTCAAATTTTCACACCTCAGCTAAACTGCGGAGTGAAAGTAGCTTCTGTTTTCAAACTGAATGGAAGCTGGTTTGAGGAGAAACGCATTAAACAGTATTTCTCAAGAAACTACAGGAGAGATGGATTGTGGCTAATGTCATGTGTGCACAGCTTCAGACACCTGCAGCAGGAATGCACAGGCTTAGTATAACTTACTAAAAACAATGCCATTGTTTTTGGCATTAACTAAGTTTCACATACACATCCAAGATCAGCCTTTCTGAATGTACTGTACTCAGCTAGTAATCTAAGCATTTCGGGAGACGTAGAAGATTTTACTCCTGCTGAATTAAGTGAGTTTGGAAATAATATGATATTTTTACTGCTTCAGTCATGGCTTGCTACATGCTGGGCCTGTTCTTGTTGATTCAACACTTCATTTTCTTGTGCTGATGGCTTGGCACAGCTCCTAGGCAATAGATCTTTAAAAGCTAAAAATAGCATGTTTATGGAGCCAAATTGTATCTTTGGAGTGTAATCTTGACGTGTGCTTTGCCAATGACCTCAACAGAGCCAAAGGTTCTCTTATGGCGCACTGAAACAGGAATATTGATTGCAAACCTGAATTCTATTATACCACCATTTCTGTACTGTTCCTTCTAAGACTACCTTTAATAATAAACACTTATATTTCGCTTTCAGTTGCCCAAGGTGTTCACATGCATTATTTAGTTGCAATCTTTACAAAAACCCTGCATTTTTACTATTTCCTCCATACTGAAAATTATTATTATTCCTCTTGTATTGTAGAATGGTGAGAACTGGGTTGAGAGAAAATAGCTTGGCAAAAGCCACATAGCACATTCAAAGCAGAGTCAATATTCCATCTAGAAGATTTGTTCAGTTTCTTAGCTTCTATGCAACCCACAAAGCAGGGCATTAAGCATGCGCTTGGGATAGGTTTTGCTACTGAACAAAAAAAGATTTAGTGTTCTCTTTTCCTTGTGCAATGAGCTAGTTTATTATTATTTCAAAAAAATTATATGCCGCTTGTGTGTTTTTTTTAAAAAACCTCAAAGCAGATGATGATGATTATGTATTTTTTGTTTTTTATCTTGTATTTTTATGTTGTGAACTATTGATGTGGGGTAGGATACAAACATAATAAACAAACAAACACAAACAAACACAAACAAACAAACAAACAAACAAACAAATAAAAGCATAAAACGATAAAATCAAGAAAAAAACACAGTACTTTAAAACATACAATAAGTGAAAATACTAAAAAAAAATCACATCAAATTTAGAGAAGTAATGTGTTTGAAATGTACGTTTTATTTTTTTTATTTGTATTGTCAGATTGTCAGCAAAACCATAGACTTGTGATAGGAACTCAGGAGAATTGGAAAGCTGCTTAGTGCTCCAGTGTTGAGGCGTGGTCCATCTTTCTTCATTGAGATATCCCACTCAATAGCTTTTTCTGTTGCAGCATGCGGTGGGGGTGTTGTTCCTAGGCTGGAGGTGGCAGTTCTCTGGAAACATTGCCCACAATGCTTTTAAACCATCTGGAAGTAATGGGAGGGACATATGAGGGTATGACATGTAGCCATCAAGTAAATAAGCTGCCCTTTACTAGGATGGATCCTTTCAATGGAGAAGCAGAAAAAAAACTTAAGGGCAATTTATGTTGGGGTGATGGTAGATAGTTGGGTGGGTTGGTGAGAAGAGAATAAAAGAAAAGTATTTTGTTGTTCAAAAGAAAAATCCTAAGCTAACAGGTGTTTGATACCTTCCTTTTGTCCATTTTGTTTTGAAGCTTCCTCCAATTCTGTGACCACATACGAAACCTGTCAAACCTACGAACGCCCTATAGCTTTCACTTCCAGGTCTAAGAAGCTCTGGGTCCAGTTCAAGTCCAATGAAGGAAATAGTGCCAAAGGATTCCAGGTCCCTTATGTAACATATGATGGTAAGGAAACCTTAAAAACTGCTGGAACTAAAGTGTGGGTGTTTCAATGTGTAAATTTGTGCTTTTACTTTCCATCTCAAAGTCTGGGAGTACGGGATATCAACATTTTATATAGGTAGAATATTTTATATAAGTGAATTTTTATGTGTCAGGTAAGGACATGCTTCCACACAAAATAACATGGGTATTAACCATGTCCCTTATGAGATGAAATGTGAAAATATTTTGGAGATGGTAAGGGGTGGGGGAACAGATGTCTGTTGGGGGTATAACTCTCAAATTGTATCAGATTTTGTCTTTTATGTGCCAGTTCACATTTTTACACAAGATTGTATATTTGTGTATTTGAGACAAGTTAGGCTCTGAACACCTCCAAGTTGCTTTGCTTCAATGTAGGTTTTATTTTTTGATTTAGGAAAGCTGTAATTGGTTTATTGCTGTATCCCAAGAAGTGTCTTTTCTCATAATGGTACAAATGGCTTCACAGTTTCTACTTTGAAGTTGAATTTGGGACTAATCAGTGTTTCAGGCAGATGCAGAGAAAATTGGGAGTTTCATCTTCCTTGTACGTCCGATCTCTTTGGCAATTATTCCAAGCTACCCTGGGGTAACAATCTGATGTGATTATGGCATGATGGATTCCAAAGGCCTGCAAGTGCAGCACTTAAAGGCCTAAATCCTTTGGCTTTGCTGCCAGTCAGTGGCAACTTAACCACCCTCCTTAGCTGGAAACAGGATTTGTTCCACATTTTTAAAACCTGATTTCCATCCTGAAAACACATCAGTGGAAACAGGCTAATACGTTTGATACCAAAATAGTAAAAATGCTGTTTGCTTATTATACAAAAAAAGTGAAAGGGAAAAAAGCAGGAGTGTTGTAGGCAGATTTTAACATAAAGAATAGATTTATTTAGCAAAGCTGTATTTGAAGTTTGTCACATAGCCAGCATTTATATATGTCTCCAAGGCTGCTTATGATTTCTGCCATGGACCAATTACTGTATATACTCGAATATAAGCCGACTTTTCAGCATATTTTTTATGCTGAAAAAGCTTCCCTCGGCTTATACTCGAGTGAGGCAGGCGGTGGTGGAGGGACGAGCCCTTTCTCACCTCTCGTCCCTCCACCGCTGCTGGCCTCTTGCAAGGGCAGGCACAGGAGATGTGGCTGGGAGAGGCGCTGCGCTGCACTGTGCCTCTCCCAGCCAGGCTCCTATGCCTGCTCTTGCGAGCGGCAGAGGTGGCGGAGGAGGAACGAGCAGCCCAAAAGGATCCCTTTCGGGCTGCTCCTTCCTCCTCCTTCCCCCTTGCTGCTGTCTGCGGAGAAGGAGGAGTGAGCAGCCCGAAAGCAGCTCTTTCGGGCTGCTTGTTCTTCCTCCTCCACTGCCGTCACCACAAGGTTTGTGGTGTGGTGAACCGGCTTATACTCGAGTCAATAAGTTTTCCCAGTTTTTTGTGGTAAAATTTGGTGCCTCGGCTTATATTCGAGTTGGCTTATACTCGAGTATATAAAGTAATAGTAAGCAGGTATGGAACACTTTGTCTCTTTGTCTAAACAGTATAGTTTGTTTCTTGGAGGCTGTTTAGAATAGGTATTAAATCTGCTAATCTGAAAATTGTAGTCTTGGTTATAGATGGGTACATTCTGTTTGGGAGCATTTTCAGCCAAAGAATGGGAAATGCTAACAGAGTGACTTGCTAAAAGGAGTAGTAAGTATCCCTCCTGTTTAGCCTAGAGATACATGTATGTGCTGCTGATGTAACTCAAATGAATATTTGCAAGTCATGTGTGTGTGTGTGTCTCCAACAGAGGATTATCAGGAACTAATAGAAGACATAGTCAGAGATGGTAGACTGTATGCATCAGAAAATCATCAAGAAATCCTTAAGGTAAACTTGCTCAATTAATCTCCTGAAGGAAAACATCCATTCGTGAGTGACTGCTGTTTGTGAAAATAAAGCTTTAAAGCTTTGTTTACAATCTACTGTGACAGAGAGGAAGCTAAACAGGAGGAGGATCAGCAGGCATATCTCCCAAACAAGAAGCAACATGCTATCACTCTGTTCCCCAAGAACCAAAACTAGTCTGAAGGGAGTGGTGGAGGCAATGTTGACTCAAGATATGTTGATAACTGATGCAGCAAACATACAGTGTATATGTTAAATAACTGACAATATGCTACCTATTAATATTGCTGTAAATCGGCTACCTGAAGCTGCTGTCTCAGCCTGCTGCCTAATAGTAGTGCTGATGGCAAATGCTGGTGTTTCTAACGTGAACTTGAGCATTAGTAATTGCCTAGCAATCATACGTGCCTTCTGTTCCAACTTCTGTAAGCACAGGAATGATATGTGGGTAACTTGGCCTAAGCCTTAGCATTTTGGTGGGTTGCACTTTGAATTACAGGAAATAGGAAGGACCTTTACCTTAATATGTAATAGAAACTGAACCAAGAATTGTGCTTGCACTATTTTTTCCCTCAAACTACAGTATATTAAATGACAACTGAGTTCTTTCTTACACTTTCAGGATAAGAAGCTGATAAAGGCATTGTTTGATGTCTTGGCACACCCACAGAACTACTTCAAATACACAGCACAAGAATCCAGGGAGATGTTTCCAAGGTCTTTTATTCGATTGTTGCGCTCTAAAGTCTCCAGATTTTTGAGGCCTTACAAATAGTGAACGCTATATTTTGAAAACTTAAAAAGTTACTGACTGTACAGCAGATTTGTTTTGTGTTCTCTAAGATGGGGAAATTTTCAGGAAGCTGCCCAGTCAGTTGTATACAGTGTGTAAATTTTTTTTTATTAAAAATATAATTATTTCATTGCCATCTGTTTTATTTTCTGACATTATATTACCTACTCCAGGAGTAGCCAACATGGTGCCCTCCGGCTGTTGTGGAGTACAACTCCTACCATCAACTAACCTTTGGCCATGTAGGCAGGGTCTGATGGAAATTCGTAACATCTGGAGGGCACCATGTTGACTATGCCTGATATACTAGTAGTTATGAATGAAGGTTGCAAGTGGTTTGTTCCTTTTTATATATAATAATATTGGTCCTGTGATTTGAGCACAGGGCGTGGGTGGTGCTGTGGGTTAAACCACAGAGCCTAGGACTTGCCAATCAGAAGGTTGGCGGTTCGAATCCCCGCAATGGGGTGAGCTCCCGTTGCTCGGTCCCTGCTCCTGCCAACCTAGCAGTTTGAAAGTACATCAAAGTGCTAGTAGATAAATAGGTACCGCTCTGGCGGGAAGGTAAACGGCGTTTTCGTGCGCTGCTCTGGTTCGCCAGAAGCAGCTTAGTCATGCTGGCCACATGACCCGGAAGCTGTACGCCGGCTCCCTCGGCCAATAAAGCGAGATGAGTGCCACAACCCCAGAGTCGGTCACAACTGGACCTAATGGTCAGGGGTCCCTTTGCCTTTACCTATGATTTGAGCAGCTTTCTTGAATTGTAGAAATCTTCCCTCAATTTCCCACAAGAGGGCACCATGTTGCATCAATTTAAAAGTTCAACTAAGCAGTTTCTATTATTATGTCTCCCAGGACCAGTTTAACAAGGATAGCACTCAAACATTGGAGAGGGGAGAAGAGTCAGTGAGCTTTCTTCTTGTGACAATACACTTGTTGTCAGCTTTTGTTTGGTTTTTTTAATAGTTGACTAGAGGAAAAAGGCCCTTCTACTAGATATTTGCTACATAAACACAAAGCCATTAATATAATTGAAATCTCTTCTTACCTGGCTTTATGTTGTTTGTGAATCTGAGAGTGATGAATGTTTGTAGGGGGGGAGCTCTAATATAACTTCTACTTCCTGGATTGCAAATCCTTACTTTTGCCCTCCCAATGTATTACACGCAGGTTGGGCACTGAAGCCCTAGCCGCCGCCACCCCACACCTGACCTAGCCCTACCTCTGAACATCAAGGGTGCACACGCAAACAGGAAATCCTACAGCTGCTCTCAAGTAGGGATTCGTCTTCAGACATCCTCACTAGGACTCTGGGCACACAAGCAGATCAGCCCCATCCCTCTTTCAATGCACGTGTGTAAATACATGAATAGGGCCTTTATTTTCAGCGATATTAATTTGGCTACAAACAAGCCTGCATTTTTAACATGCGTACTGGAATCAAATTGAGAAAGGGACAAAAGTGAGGGTGTGTACACACTGCAATTCCAGTGGAAAGGGCTAATGTAGAAGACACATAGCTTTATATTAGGAGAATGTGCTGTGTCTATAAGCAAGGAGATCTACCACCCAAGACCTGTGAGGAGGAAGGATAATATTCCAGGACTGACTGCTGACCTTTGATTTGATTTTGATTTAATATTTGCATGCTGCTATTCAAACAATGATGTTGAGCTCAAAGCAGCTCACAATAATAATAAGCAAGAAACATTTCCCTCAATATAACTGTATCCAAAAGTACAACAGCATATAAGTAAAGCAAAAACAAACCATTTAATAAACAAGTAATGCAGGCAAATGCAAGCTCATAATAATTCAAAAATAACTTTTTCCAGGCAGCAGGGTCTTTCAAAAATTCAGCCACAAAACTGAGCTCAAAGTAGCAACAAAATTTGTTCTCTTTTTTTCCTGCTGAGTCTGTTCCATAGAAAGTTTCCTGGATACCCATCCAGCCTTGCCTATCCATTTATTTACTTCCAAAGGAACTTGCTTACAGGTAGGCCTAAGTTTACAGTCTGGAAAATGCTGGTGGCATCCAGCTTGAAAACTAGTTCTATAAGATACTGGGCTCCCTGCTGTTGCTGTAGCAATCATCACAATTTTGACTGCCACATGGAACTTTTCATGGAGCAGAATGAGTTGTCTGTACTCAATTTTCCAGTTAATTTTAACATCTGAAATTTTAGAGTTAAAAAACTGGATAGGCCACATCTCTCATTTTTTAGAAAAGGTCCCTCAACGGAACAACAGTTTCACCAACTTCCAGTACCTGGGCAGGTTCTTGTGGGACCATTTAGTCTCAAGTGGCATGGAGGGGACTCCTGAAGTGAAGTGAAGGTCATCAATTATCCAGCATCTCTAATGGTCCTAATAAATAATAGACAGGCCCATGCTTACGATCTCATTGATGTGAGAAGGTAACTGTTAAGCTTCATCCAAGACAAAGGAATACACTGTCCTTGTCCTAGATGTGTTGATAAGGGCTGCAATTAGAGCTGCCAGGTTTTGAACTTACCCCTGTGGTGGTAAAACCTTTAGCAGTAGTTTTATCGGCAGGTGTTATCGGGTGAAGGCATTTATCTCCACATCATGAAAAGCTCCAGCAGCCGATTCCTGCAGATCAACCTGCAACTAAAGGCACAGAAACACATTAGCCTATATTTTTCCCAGTTTAGCTGGCAACCCCTAGTGCAGTTCACCAAACACTTGCTGTGTACAACTTCCTTTCATGTCAGTGAGGCTCATATGGCTCTCCTGGGCAAACTCCATTGAAATAAATAGAATACAGCAGCAGTACTTGGTTATGCCAATACTGATGGAAGGCTTTGTGTACAAGCACAGACAATTTGGGAGGATTGGACATGGGGCTAGCAGCTGTAATTGATTGCTTTTCCACAATTATCAAGAAGTGGAACTAAAACAAAAGGTTCCACACAAACAATTAGACTAGGTTTGACTTCCCATATATTCCCAAGTAAGTCCTCTTAATCAAATATTCTCTGCAATTTTAACTACAATTGTCTTCCTTGAAAGTTCATCCAGCTTTATTGCTTTCTGAGGAGCAAAGATTGGTGATTATTTGGAAATAGCCTACTAAAGGTCCCTCTGTTAATTGTCCGTTATGTCCTATCCTTGTGGTGTGGGTAATTTAGCCAAACAGAACTACTTGACTATATATAAAATGGAAAGGAAGCCAATAATTGAAGCCTCTACCCCCCACAAGAACAGAAACTGGCATAGGGACAATTAACAGCAGCTGTTCAAGGGATAATTAATTGTAGTTACACTAATCAGGAAGAAATAAAAGGGTCTAGGAAAGGTTTAAAAGTAGGACCCCTAAAAGCCTCCATAGTCCTTTCCTGTTCATGTTAGATAGGCTGCTGTTGCAACTGTGTTTTACCACAAAACCTGTGTCAAAAAAACACAGAAGATACTGGAATGCACGGGTTGACAATGGTGTTATCTGGATGCCCCATAAAAAAGTGGGAGAACAAAGGATGGCAATTCTAGTGTAAAGGGGCTAAAGTGAAAGTCACCTTAGGAAGATCTTTCCCCACAACAGTTTTCATTTCCCAGGGTTCTTTAGTTCCCGTGGTAACTTGTCTGTTGGATGGATGAGCCTTTGGCCTGATCCAGCAGGACTCTTTCTAGTTTAAGAACCTAAGTAAAGAAAATAAGACCTATTGAGGTTTCTTCAATACTAGGTGCAAAAAAGCTACAGATTCAGTACAATGATAACTGGTTAAACATAACATAACATGACATAAGAATAGCCTGCTGGATCAGACCAATGGCCTATCTAGTCCAGGATCCTGTTCTCAGAGTGGCCAATCAGGGAGCAGAACATGATCAAAAGGGCCCTCTCCCCTCCTGTGGTTTCCAGCAACTGGTATTCAGAAGCACAGGCTGCTTCCAGCTGTGAAGGTAGAGAATAGCCATCATGACTAGCAGCCATTGACAGCCCCCTCCTCCATGAATTTGTCAGCCCTCTTTTAAAGCCATCCTGCTTGGTGGCCATCAGTGCCTCTGGGGGGAGTGAGTTCTATAGTTGGACCATGTGCTGCATTTATAGGTACTTTCTATTATCTGTCCTAAATTTTCCAACATTCAACTTCATTGGATGGTGACAAGTTCTAGTGTTATGAGGGTGAGAAACTTTCTCTAGTGTTTTTCTCCATGCCTTGCATAATTTTATAAATTTCTACCATGTCACCTATTACTTGCTATTTCTCCAAGCTAAAAAGTCTCAAGCGTACAACCTTTCTTCACAGAGGAGTCAGTTCAGCCCCTTGATTAGTTTAGTTGCCCCTTTCTGAACCTTTAAAGGTAAAGGTAAAGGTACCCCTGCCCGTACGGGCCAGTCTTGACAGACTCTAGGGTTGTGCACCCACCTCACTCAAGAGGCCGGGGGCCAGCGATGTCCGGAGACACTTCCGGGTCATGTGGCCAGCGTGACAAGCTGCATCTGGCGAGCCAGCGCAGCACATGGAACACCGTTTACCTTCCCGCTAGTAAGCGGTCCCTATTTATCTACTTGCACCCGGGGGGTGCTTTCGAACTGCTAGGTTGGCAGGTGCTGGGACCGAGCAACGGGAGCGCATCCCGCCGCGGGGATTCGAACCGCCGACCTTTCGATCGGCAAGTCCTAGGCGCTGAGGCTTTAACCCACAGCGCCACCCGCGTCCCATTAAAAAAAAAAAAAGCCTACGGCACCCGGTATTCCCATCTAAGTACTAACCAGGCCTGACCCTGCTTAGCTTCCGAGATCAGACGAGATTGGGCGTGTTCAGGGTAGTATGGCCGTAGACATCTCTAAAATATAGAGATATATAGTAGACATCTCTGAACCTTTACCATCTCTAAAATATCCTCTAAGAGATGAGGGGATCAGAACTGTACACCAAATAAGGTCACACCATATATTTGCATAACAGCATTATCCCAGTAATGATGTATGGAAGTGAGAGCTGGACCATAAAGAAGGCTGATCGCTGAAGAATTGATGCTTTTGAATTATGGTGCTGGAGGAGACTCTTGAGAGTCCCATGGACTGCAAGAAGATCAAACCTCTCCATTCTTAAGGAAATCAGCCCTGAGTGCTCACTGGAAGGACAGATCCTGAAGCTGAGGCTCCAATACTTTGGCCACCTCATGAGAAGAGAAGACTCCCTGGAAAAGACCCTGATGCTGGGAAAGATGGAGGGCACAAGGAGAAGGGGACGACAGAGGACGAGATGGTTGGATAGTGTTCTCGAAGCTACCAGCATGAGTTTGACCAAACTGCGGGAGGCAGTGAAAGACAGGAGTGCCTGGCATGCTCTGGTCCATGGGGTCACAAAGAGTTGGACACGGCTAAACAACTAAACAACAACAACAATTATTATATTGACATTTTTATTTTCCTTTCCTTTCCTAATGATGCCTAGAATAGAATTTGGCTTTGTCATGGCCACCACACACTGGGTTGACATCTTCGTTGAGCTATATGCTATGACCCCAAGGTCTCACTCCTGGTCTGTCATCACCAGTTCAGACCCCATGAGCATGTATGTAAAATTACGATCTTTTTGCTGCAACATGCATTCACTTTATCCTTGTTTACACTGAATTGCATTTGCCATTTTATTGCCTATTCACTCAGTTTGGAGAGGTCCTTTTGGAGCTCTTCGCAATCTTTTTTTACTTTAACAATCCTGAACAATTTAGGTCATCTGCAAACTTGGCCACCTCACTGCCTGCTCCTAACTCAATATTATTTGCAAGCAAGTTAAAAAGCACAGCTCCCAATACCAATCCTTGAGGGACTCCATTTTCTACTTCTCTCTGCTGTACCTCATTCCAAGGAAACTGAACCCTGGGTAAATGCCTGGAACCCTTGGAATCTCACACTATTTGGAGATTGGGGTGGTGTGCAACAGTGTGTGTGTGTGTGTGTGTGTGTGGACACACATACATATCTACATTTTTATATCTACATTCTTCTCAATACAAGATATAAGGTATTTATGATGCAAATCATTGCACCATCTTTAAATATGCATATAGTAATTGCTGAGAAAGCATGAGGTTTATTTTATGCACTTAGCACAATATTTTGTACTATTTCTTAAAGTATTAAAAATAAATTTAAAAACGATTTTTTTAAAGTGTAAAGTGTAAGATTACCTACCTAGCTCCATTACTACACCAAGATTTATTGTATTTGACTGTTTTTAATACCACTGTGGCCTGTAATGCAATTAGAAAAGCTTTTCTATGGATGATGCAAAACTCCAAAGCCACCAAATTCTTCTTCATTTGCATGCTGAAATAGATGACACATTTACCCTTGAGCAGTACTCAAAAAGGAGGATTTCATTTTCATAGCACTCCTCCTCTACCTTAGCTTTGATGTAGCCACTAGTCCTGCTGCGAATAAGAGCTTATTGAACCTTGGCTAATGCGAGACGAGATGCAAGGCTTCTGTCCTATAGCTCTTCCTTTCTATTACATAAAAGAGACAGCATCCATTTAGGGGAAGGGCTTTGTTTTTGCTCTCTGTTTTCTCTCCCTTAGCCCAGAGATGAGGTGAACAAACAAAGCATCTTTATTTAATCAACTGGCTAAGTGCCAAACGCCTCCAAAGGTGAAAAAGAGATTGCTTTTACCCTCAGAGTTCTGTATGCTTGTAATGATTCATTACATAATGGGCTATTCTAAAAAGAAAAGGTGACAGGACAAACCTCTCCTGTGTTAAAACTGCTAGGCCGCAGTTGCATTTTGGCCTTTTGGTGTCTGAATGAGAGTATAATTCCAAGCCTTGCGGTAGTTCCACCTCTACTTGGATGACCATCTTCAGAGGGAGTTTTGTTCAGCCCTGTGTGGAGTTCTGCAGGGTTCGATTTTATCCCCCATGCTGCTTAACAACTACATGAAACTGCTGGCAGGAGTCATCTGGAATTTTGGAGTGCACTGTCAACAATACGTGTACAGTGGTACCTTGGGTTACAGACACTTCAGGTTACAGACGCTTCAGGTTACAGACTCTGCTAACCCAGAAATATTACCTTGGGGTAAGAACTTTGCTTCAGGATGAGAACAGAAATTGTGCTCCGGCGGCACGGTGGCAGTGGGAGGCCCCATTAGCTAAAGTGGTACCTCAGGTTAAGAACAGTTTCAGGTTAAGAACAGACCTCCAGAATGAATTAAGTTCTTAAACTGAGGTACCACTGTACATTGATGATACACTGCTCTATCCTTCCTTTACACTTGCGGGTGTGGCACTGGCTGCACTAGACCCATGTCTGGCCTTGGTATTGGACTGGAGAACAATTCCTTGCCTTGGCAAGGGTGGGAACAGGATCAAAACTAAAGGTGTGATCATGATACATTGCGAGGCTGGCTCCATGAAATTACTCTTAACATTCATATGTCAGGAATGGGAAACCTCTGGCCTGTAGCCCAAATTTCATAATATTATTATTATTAATATTATCATCATTATTAAATTAACATATCACCCTTCTACTGGTGATCACAGGGCAGTTTACAATATAAAAACACAAAAACACTTATACATACACACAAACAAAACAATCTCTCTCTCTCTCTCTCTCTCTCACACACACACACACACACACACACACACTCTGCCACACACAATTTGCAAGGGCAAAGATGGTATAATTAGCCAAAGACGTGGGAGGAGAAGAATGGTTTTGCTTGGCACTTAAAGATATGTAACGAAGGCACCAGGCAAATCTCCCTGGGGAATGTTCAGAGGCCGTAATTTGGGCCATAAGCCAGTTTTTCACCAGCCCTACCCATCTGCCCCACATGGGGTGTCCTACCACCTGTGTGGCAGGTAAAGCCATGGTTATAAGGAACAATTGGAAGCCTTTAATTGTGCTTCCTCTGCAAGTGGGGCTTTTACATTTTGTGCTAAAAGCAAGCACTTCTGGGATTGCTTCCACCTGGAAACAGGGTGGAAAACTGAGTGTGAGGTGAAATGGAATGGAATATTGTGAAAAAGGCTGGCTGGCTGGCTGGCTGGCCGGCCGGAGCACTGGAATATCGGCTGGCATACTGAATGCTTTGGTATAAGTTCCACTTGTTTATCCTATTTCCAGTATCACATCCAAGCAGCACTGAGTTTGGTGCGATAAGCATGCACCCAAAGCTGCCTTAAATGACTTCCACGTGTATTGTATATTGGCAGCTTTAACTAAGCTATATTGTGTCTGAGGATTCTTGCAGGGAAGCCAGTATATGCACACAGCCTTTTGATTTTGAAAGCACACTTTAGTCTGTGGTTTATACATCTGCAGCAGATGGTTCTGCTTTTAAATATATATACATATTAAACATATACCAGACTGCCTTTAAAAATAAAATAAAATTAGAAGGTCACATCTGTTTATTTTGAAAGAAAATGCTAGCTCATTTTATCAAGAGTTCTTTCCTTGAAAAGCCCAAGCTGCGAGTGAAAGATGCAAGACAGACAGCCTAGTACAGCAAAACATTGCTTTCCGCCCCCTCAAAAGGAAGCTGGTAATTCCTAGACTGATTGTGAGCCAACTCATGCCATATTCGATGTGTGTAACATATTGCAGTGTACATAACCCCTCCTTTACTACGCCGCACTGGCTGGGATACCTGCTGTTCTCAAAAACGTCACGCGGATTCTGTTATAAAGTCCACCACAATAGATCGCCGGGGCATTTGTTTCCATATAGACGCTTGGCAGCAGCTTGGGAGAGAAAGAAAGGCACGCAAGAGGAGACAGATCGGAAAGATGTTTTACTCAGGGCTCCTAACAGACAGAAAGGATGTGGACCTGAGGGAAGCTGCATCTCTCCGACAACAGAGGAGAATGAAGCAGGCAGTGCAGTTTAACCACAAGGACTCGGCTGACCTGCTACCATTAGATGGACTGAAAAAGCTGGGGACTTCGAAAGACACCGTAAGACGCTGTTTGTGTGTGTACGTGTGTGTGTGTGTGTGTGTGTGTGTGTAAAAATCTATATCGAGAAAACATAAGATTAAAAGGATGGATTTAAAACATTTTGGTCTGTTGATTCTAGTGGTGTTTTAGAAATGTTTTGAAGATAATGATCTCTGTTGCCTTTGGAAGCCATAGAAAATTAGCATTTTAATTAAGCTGTTGGGGATGCAGAGGGAGGATAAAGACTGAGGAAATGGTGGGGGGAAGAGCTTTACATGAGATATGTTTTCTGTTTTTGTTATCAAAAATAGTTTATATTTGGCGGTGCAGCTACGTAATTCTGAACTCTGGACTTTATGGTCTTATGGGGGGCTTTTCAGATGGAAATGTATAATTAAAACACATCCTTCAAAATGTGGTAATAAGCCACCCCAGCTCATTCTGTTGAGCAGGACCCTGGACTTCTATCCCAAAGTCCTGTCCCTGACATAACGTTTATATAGCCATGCTTGCAAGTGCAATCAAGCATCCTTTACATTGTGATTTAAAAAAGAAAAGATGGCCTTATTCAGCCATATTAATATATAGTCAATTCAATGTATTCTGTACAAATGTTAGATATGTGAATTGGTCAGTTGGTGAGTTGATCAGATTAGGCGTAGTTTTGTAATAAGAAAACTGGAAATCAAACACAGGTGATGACTTCCTGAGTTTGTACTTTAACTTCTCTTTATTAAGGTAAATTCCAGTCCTGCTACTTCAACATGGTTCCAGTTGATTTCAGTGAAACTTCCTTCCAGGGAACTGTGTTCAGAACTGCAGCTTTGGGGCCTTATTGCTGCATTGCCTGTCTTGTCTTTTGCAGATAGCAGTTTCAGAATGGTACTAAGCAGTAAAAGCAGTGTTGGGGAGAGGGTTTTTAAAATTATTCCCTTAGCTTCATGACCTTGATAGAATGTTTTTTGGGGGGTGGGGGTGGGGGTGGGGGAGGAGTACTGTGGCTGCATTCCTGATGATGTTCATTTGTTTGGCCCTCAGTCAAGTCTATTGTCTCCCACATCAGGGGAAGCTATATTCCTTTGAGTTCTACAACATACACCTGCAAAGCTTTCGAAAATAGAAGCATACATCAGAGACACAAAACAGGATGAAAATCTATTTGAGCAGGAAGTTGTGTCCATTCTGATTTTTATCCCCACCCCACCCCGAGTTCAATATGTTGCCTACTCACAACATTTGATGATAAGATGAATATAGTGAATCTTTTTAAAAAACAAAAAAAACTTTAACCTTGTATAGTTTTTATGACACCAGAATTTAGGATTAGATGTGTAACAGTAAAAATGGAAAGTGGCGGTGTTTTGCTTAATATATAGGTGTTTCTAAAAACCATATCAGTCTTTAGCCTCAGAACAAGTACTGGCCAAAACTATGATTTCTGCTCCAATTTAAAACTCTGGGAATTCGCACTCCAGTCCAACCTTCACAACGTATAGTCTGACCACCACAGAGGAGAAAATTGCACCCCATATACTGTCAGTCCATTCCTCATATCATTTGGGGTAAATACTGCATCAAGGATATGCCACTCCCCCCAAGTTGGACCAGTAGCCATTTGACACAACCCCATTGAAATTAAGTCTTACAATGCACTTGCTAGAGCCCTACACATCAAATCACCCTGTAGTAATCACAATATACTCAGAGGTGAACAACAGTGTTTGAAATATATAACTAGTAAAGGGAGAGGGATGGGGCATTTAGTGCTATACCGTATCTATGGCTTTGCATAAAACTCCCTGTACAAAGATGACAAATTAGTGGTATAAGGACTTCTTTAGCATTTTCTAGAGCAGGGGTGGTAAACCAATGGCTTGTAGCTGTATCTAGCATCCAGAAGACATTTTTGTGCCCCCTCCAGAGATCCCTTCCCAAATTTTGGTGGTTGAAGATCACCGAATCATAGAATTGTAGAGTTGAAAGGGACCCTAAGGATCATGTAGTCCCAGCCCCTGAAATGCAGGAATCTCAACTAAAGCACCCAACAGATGGCCATCCAACCTCTGCTTAAAACCTCCAGTGAAGGAGAGTCCACCACCTTCCAAGGGAATCCATACCACTGTTGAACAGCTCTTACTGTCAGAAAGTTCTTCCTGATGTTTAGTCAGAATCTCCTACCTTGTAACATGAATCTGTTGGTCCGGGTCCTGCCCTCCAGAGCAAGAGAAAACATTTGGCAGCCCTTTAGATATTTGAAGATGGCTATCCTATCTCCTGTGGGTTAAATCACAGAGCCTAGGACTTGCCGATCAGAAGGTCAGTGGTTTGAATCCCTGCGACAGTGAGCTCCCGTTGCTTGGTCCCTGCTCCTGTCAACCTAGCAGTTCGAAAGCACATCAAAGGGCAAGTAGATAAATAGGTACCACTCCAGTGGGAAGGTAAATGGCGTTTCCGTGCGCTGCTCTGGTTCACCAGAAGCGACTTAGTCATGCTGGCCACATGACCTGGAAGCTGTACGCCAGCTCCCTCGGCCAATAAAGCGAGATGAGCGCCACAACCCCAGAGTCGGTCACAACTGGACCTAATGGTCAGGGGTCCCTTTACCTTTACTTTATCCTATCTCCTCTTAGTCTCATTTTTCCAACCTAAGCATACCCAGCTCCCTTAACCACTCCTCATAACTGTTCCTTGATAATATTGGTCGCCATCCTCTGCACATGTTCCAGCTTGTCAATATCTTTTTAAAATTGTTTTGCCCAGAAATAAACATAGTATGCCAGATGCGGTCTGACCAAGGCAGAATAGAGCAGTACTTTTACTTCTCTTGATTAGGACACTATACTTCTGTTGACCTGGAATACAATATTTCTTGAACTGATGGTTGTGTTGTGCAAGTCCTAAAAATGTGTTCATTGTGTTTTTACTCCATGGGTCACCAAACAATTCCCCCAAATTTCTTTATAGAGGGCCCTTCTGCAGTGCTTTACAATCTTTGTGAGCAGCACTTCCTGTACACTGATGGCTTCCAAACAGAAGTGGCTTCTCACCGTCATTTTCAAGAGCAGCTGAAGTTATGAAACTATAGAAAGCACAGAGTGCTTCACCTGTTTAGTTGTGAGAGTTCAGAGCCAGAAGGCAGAGAGACAGAGTACAAACTAGAGAGCATGTGGCAGTTTAAAAGGGGAGGAATGCTTATTGCTCCATGAATTTAAGAAGGAAGAATAAATGAGCTTAAATAATTTTATATTTCATAGAGCCCACTTTTACACTTTAGCCACATCCACTTGCTTTCTCCATGCCAACATTTACACTTGCCCACTTTGATAAAAAGTACCCAGAAGCTTAGCTATGGGTCAATGTAGTTCTTGTCCTGAAAAGTGTTAGCCACCTATGCTTTAGAAATTAAGTGTTAACTTTCCTAAAAATGGAAATCAAACACCTGAGATAACCATCCTCCTGTTTAACGAACATCATTTCGTTTGAAAATGCCCTCCTCCCTCCTCTCCAACCACACACACACACACACACACACACACACACACCGTATTGAGTAACTTACTGACATCTACTGAATGAATAGATCAGGGTTTGATGACACAGTGAATCACAACAATAAATTTTGCATGGTTTGTGATGTCACCCCAAGGCTTCAGGTTACACTCAAGTGGCCACAGAGGCCTGCATCAAATATTTGTTTGGAAAGAGAGAGAGAGAGAGAGCGCATGAAGTGTTTGATTACTACTTATTGATCAGCAATGGAATCATTCGTAAGAAGGTACCTTGATAAGCAGAAGAGGAGGGCCAGCGTTAGTGACATTTGCCCACCCCCACTGCTACCACTGACCAGGGATGATATCAAGCCAGGGACAGAAAATGACAGGCTTGGACTGGTGAGAGACACCATGTTTCAGAACCACCTCATTCTAAAACCAGAGCTAGGAAGGACCCTCAGAAGGTGTGCAAAGATTCCTGGTTCAGATTTTGTGTATGGATTAACTCTACGCGGGACCGACGGAGGAATGCCTGAAGCAATAGGGAACTGGCGGGTAATGACACCCACTGTCACCAAAAAGAAGGAGAAGCCAAAGGACTACATAGTCATGAACTATAGAGGAATAAAAGCTGGTCTTTTCACAGCAAAGGAACACTACCTGTATCGCCAACACCATGATGTGCGCCGCAAAGGAGCTGATGGGGACAGGTTCCCAAGGGATCCACCTCGTCTTCCTGATGCCATGACCTATGGGAGGCCCTATCGTCCTTCCACCCCCTTCATAGATGTCTTTCAACATAAGTTTGGGGACCAATGGGTGGAGGAGAACCGAAAAAACTGTGTATATGTTAAAGAAAACAAGCATAAGAAAAGGCGAAAGATATATGATACACGGGCTGTCATGCTGAGGAAATATCAAATGCCAGTAAAGGAAGATCCTCTGTGGATCATGCCACAATTTCGGAAAATTGCTCCCCATCTTAACACCTTTCCAAGTCTAGAGGATCGAGTGAAGGCTTTCAAAGCCAAGGAAATGGAAGCTCCAGTTCGACATGGCCAGCTAGCTCAGGGCATTTATACACATTTGTAGGATTCAGCTTTTATCAACATGCAACCTCTTTGTATGTCTCAAAAGTAACACTTGCTATGTTATGATTTAAAAAAGAAAGGTTGTGATTTGTTCTTGCTACTGACAATACAGTATTAAAATGAAGTTTCCAGCAAGAAGTTGCAATTGGTTCTCTTGTAACAGAACATACTCACTGCCAGTGAGAAAGATGGAATACATGGCTGCCACTGTGCCACCAAAGAACCACATCACAACCTGTGGAATCTGCATGCTGCCACAATTTAACACAGTGCAATAGCCCACCTGCTACATTAGCAGCGGTTGGCTTCAGTAAATAAAAGTGTGGCAGTGTTATGCAAAACTGTTAACTATAGAAGAGGTCAGAGAAGGGCAGAGCAGAGACAGGACTGGGGATAAATTGTTTAAACATCACAGTACCCTCTATTTTCATGCAAAACTGCATTCTTAATAAATGGGAGTAACCAGGCATATGATTCTATGATTGCAGCCGACATCCAGCACTGTCAGGTATATAGCTCTACTGGCACAAAGAAAACCGCTGTAAAGAATTGTAACGGCACACATCTTGGGAATTAGTGTTTCTGACTGATATAAATCCAATATTGCAATTCTTCAAAACAGGTTCTTAATATATAATAATCAATTTATAGGTACACAAATAATGATACTTTTGCCACATATCTATGCCTCCTGATGTAAATTATGTCCCCCAGTTTTGTCACAGCATTTATTGTGATTTACTGCATCAGAAGGTTTATTTCCTTTATATAAATGAAGCTGTGGTGTTTGCTTTCTCTCCTCCCACCCAGAGCTACCTACTTGCACACATCTCCAAACCACATATAAATAATAATAGGCACATTAAAACAAAAGAGAGAAAACATGTTTAAGGCTAAAGTACATGTGACATTATACTCTACCGGTATTTCTTTTTTAAAAAATGCTTACATTTGTTACTTTTTAAAAGAAAAAGGCAGTTACAGGGCTGCAATCTGAAACATGTTTCCATTCCAGAATGAGTTCTTAAAAGGCCAATGGCAGCCAGGCAGGCGGGATTTCCAGCAAGAAAGAGGTTTGGGACCCTGAACTAATAATTCCATGTTAGTGGAACATCCGGTCGATTGCAGAAACTCACCTGACTTTCCCTGCCATAATATCACTAACCAGACAGACCTCTCCATCTTTCTTATCAACATTGGCAGCATTTCTAGGACAGCACTATAATGCTCAGGTCAAATGGGTCTTAGCACAACTGTGAAGCAGAGCTCATGCTTTGTATGCAAAAGTTATTGCCCAGGTTCAGTAACTGGCATCTCCTGTCAAAAACCCTGGAGAATCACCACCAGTCAGTGTTGACAATACTGATCTTGATGAACCAATCGTCTGGCTCAATATAAGGCAGCTTCACATGTCCCTATGTTGTCACTGCCAGCAGCCACTGGTAGCAATCTGAAGGGCAGGGGGGGCACCAGAAAAATGTGAGGGGACCATACCCCCTATTTTTTACCTGAACCTATAACAACGGCCTACCCTGTTCTCACAGTGACCTAACAGGAGGTACTTGGGAGAAGTTATTGCCTGACGCCTATTCCCTTATCCCCATGTAAGAGAAAAATGAAGCACACCTATCTATCATTCAGCTTGATCCCAAGGCAAGGAGCTGCAGCCAAGAATTTGTAGTCTATGCATTCAACAATTCTCGCATGTGGCCTCCCACTTTGGACACATAGAATCATAGAGTTGTAGACTTGGAAGGGACCCCAAGGGCAATCTGGTCCAATCCCTTGCAATGCAGGAATCACAGGAAAAGAATCCCTAACAGATGGCCCTCTAACTTCTGCTTAAAATCCTCCAATGAAGGAGAGTCCACCACCTCCCAAGGTAATCCAATACAGTGTTGAATTGTCCTTACTATTACACCAGATATTTCTTCCTAATGTTTAATTGGAATCTCCTTTCTTGTGTTTGAATCCATTGGTTCAGATCCTACCCTCTGGAGCAGCAGAAAACAAGCTTGCTCCATCTTCCATGTGACAGTCCTTCAGATATTTGAAGATGGCTATCATATCACCTCTCAGTCTTTTCGTCTTCAGGCTAAACAAACACAGCACCCTCGATCAATCCTCATAAAGCTTGGTTTCCAGACCCTTTATCATCTTGGTCAGCCTCTTTTGCACACGTTCCAGCTTCTCAATATACTTAAATTGTGATACCCAGAACTGGACATTAGCTACCCCTCCCAGTTTAGTGTCATCTACAAATTTGATGTCATCCAAGTAATTTATAAAGATGTTGAATGAACACTGGGCCCAGGACACAACCCTGAAGCACACCACTTATCACTTTTTTTCCAGGCTGACAAAAACTGTTGGTGAGCATTCCTCGTGTTTTGTCAGTCAACCAGCTACAAATCCACCTAAAAGTAACTCCTTGAAGCCACATTTTGCTAGCTTCTCCACAAGAATATCATGGGGGATTTTATCAAAGCCCTCACTAAAATAAAGAAAAATTACATCCAGAGCCTCTGTCCATGAAAAACATCTAAAGGGAATATTGTACAACTAGTGTAAGATTGAAGCTAGTTAACATAGCGCTAAAAATAAAATCCAGGGTTGTAAAGATCATTTGGGAAGGCCTTTTCTGCATATAAATTCCATGTTTTATAAATTCTAGCTGTTTGGTAGAGGGATGCTAGCAGAAATATCAAAGTATAATTTAACTAAAAATCTGAGGCAAAGACAGATGGTCTCACCCCTTAGTTTTTGCCAGGGAAAAAGATCACTTCCTTGGAAACAACCCACTGATGGACTGTATTTCCTCGCCAGATTATTTTATCCACTTCATTTACTGTCCAACCTTCTCCATTCTTATAGTCCGTTCCTGTAGAACATTCAGAATGCATAAACTAATGCATGATATTCCCTTTTTATTTAAAACATCACACATTTTGACAAATGGTATTGCTGTTTTAGATTTGCTATTTTGTTATTTGTTATCAACATGTTTTATGTGCAACATATGTATACATATATAATCTGGAGATTCAGATAATCTGAAGATTCAGATAAAGGGAGTTCTAAGCTTTTCCAAAGTGCAAATCTTCCTTTTCAGGAAGCCTCTGTTAGATGATTTTTTACTGCTGCTCTTATATCTTTCTGGTTTTCACTGCCCAGTTTCTTCTTGTTTGCATTCTTTTGCTCATATTTTCTAATTGTATTTCCTATAGAGAGAGCTATTTATGTGTGTTAGCAGCATTGAACTTTCTGGAAAGATGGGTTATGTCTAGAATAACTAAAAGGTCAAACAAGATAGTGCAGATATGCAAGATAGTATGAAATATTGCTTTAAATGTTACATTACACATACTAATTTTTAGCAATTACTGCCTGTTCATTATGCTGATTGCTAGTTAACTAAAATATCATGTTACTTGTCTATCATGACTCATAATCTAATATATACAGTACATATTGGCTGCTTGCATTTTATTTCCATGGCTTTTTCAGCATTTCCCCCCTGAAGTTTATTTCATTTGCAAGGCTCCAGCTCTCCACCTATATACTTCTGCTATCTATTTCTAGGTCATGCTAAAGTTAATGGTTGCATGACAAGCTAGTCTACTGAATTTCAGTCCTCATACAACCTTTAAGGGTCCAGGAACATTGTCCTCTTTTGCATCTTACCAACCTGCACTAAAGTACTCAGGAATAAGTTATATAATTAGGAAAATGCCCATTGTTGTGAAAAAAATGTATGCATGGGCTTAGGATGGGGAAGAGATATGGGTCACTTTTAGTGAAAACCTACCTAATTCACGCTTCCCAAAACAATATGCAAAACTAGGACAAAGCTTTTCTTTGAAATTCACACTTCTCCGAATGCTGCAATGTAGTTATACACTCAAAAATATGTCACCAAAAATAGGTGTATTGGGGAAGCCATGCATAAAGATGCAAGCATTAGTGAAAATATGCAAAAATGTGTATTTTACCACCTTATGTATCTATGATTCCCCTTCAGGTCCAAAGAACTATAAGCAGAGCTGTGTAAAAGGTTCTCTGCAAAAGCCACTGGAAATATTTCTGAGATATCTCTGCAAAGGACAATGAGAAGGAGAATAGGAATAGGGAACATATGACTATATCCAAATGTTGGACTCCAACTCCCATCAGCCCCCAGCCAGCATGGCATGGGCCACTCTCTTTCACCAGCTCAGCAGAGGTGGTTGTTTGAAATAGATAGAGTGCGTTCCTATTGTACAACTAGGGAGTAATGTGTTATAGAGAAATATTATTTATAGCTTTGCCCTCTGTCCTTTCATCATCTAATGTATATTTGCTGAGTGCTTAGTTTGTTGATGCCTGCAGAAACACAAAAGAATTCCCCAATCTTGCCTTAAGGCGTGTGCAGTCTAGTTCTGTCAAGAGCAAGATACCAGTGGATAGCAAAGAAAAAGTGGATAGCAAAGAAAAAGAAGCTGGTGCTGGGAATGCTTCGTGGAATATTTATGTTAGATGCAGACACAAAATGAATCTTGCTAGATAATATAGCTTGAACCAGGAGGGTCCATGGGAAATTTAGGACTAGCAGAAGAGAGAACCACAGCAGGCACAGCCATCCTATAAACATATCATAGTAGCTTAACTGTCATGGTTTCCTCCAAAGAACCTCAAATCTGACAAGGATCCTGAGGGTTCCATTATGGAAATGGTTAGTTACTTCACAGAAATAGAGTTTTCCTTAACTTGGAGAGAGTATGAATTGTATTCAGGCCTGAGGCTTCAATTGGTGTTTTATGTGAATGTGAGGGCTGCCTTGATTCTGGGGCATATGTTTGATTCCACTTCTGAATTCTCCTTCCTATTAACATCTTTAAGTGACGTGAGATGTGAGAGAGACTCCAGTGTGCTTTTTAGTAGTATTCCATACAGTGCTGAGAGAGTAAGTTTGTTTTATTATCACTCTCTGTTGTTATGTTGACTTACCACTTTAAGTATAATTTACTGCTTTATGATGTAGCGGCTCAAGTTCTTTATGTGATCGCTTGTGTCATTTCTTTCTCAATTGTTTCCCTTGTGATGTAATAAGCGTGGCATGCTCACACCCACAACCCTACCCCAGGTGTGAATATTCAAAGGCTTCAAAACAGTGCTATATCACAGATTGCAGAAAGGACAGGGGCATTAAACAGGAATGTGTGTTTTTTATATATAAAAAGTCAGTGTCAAGATATTTAAACACTTCTACTTCGTGAAGAAAGGACAGAAAGCAGGATAGAGGAAAATAATAAAAAGCTCGTTAAATTTAAAAGAGTACTCTCTATGATTCTCACAATGATTATTGATGTGTGTTTTTCAGTGTCAAAAGCAGCCTGGTGAATATTCCCTTGTTCCATCTTGTAATTCACAACACCCCCTTAGTTCATTCTACTTTCAGGAGGTGGTGAGTTGCAGTCAATTAGAACATGCACTGCAACATTCATGAGGCTGATTCTGGTTCAAACCACCCAAATCTGCTTAACAACACATTCTTCCACATGAGGGATGTGAAAATTGTTCAATGGGCTGATTGTAAAACTGCATAAAATTGGTTCTTATACGTTTACCACATGATGAAGCGGCCAAATACAGTATTCCCAAAAGTCCCTTCCAGTGCTATGGGGGTGGGGGACAGGAAGAAAGTGCCTTGATTGGGTAGTCAGGTGAAACAGAGGAAAGGGAGCTCCTGCACCTTTAACAGTTGCATAGAAGACTGAATTTCAGCAGGTGCAAGCTGTCATACAAGCTGTATTTGCTCTTCTATGCATCTACTAAAGGTGCGTGTCTCTTTTTCTCTCACCCAGCCAGCCAAAATTCAAACTATTAAAAAAATTGTTTATGAAGACAAAAAAAGTTATATGAAAACAAAAAGCTCTTCTGAGAGTGGGGGGTTGGTTGGTTGGGTTTTTAAATCTTCACTACCATCATATCAGACAATGTGGTGCTGCAGTTTCAGGAACTGTATGTTCAGCAGCCCACTGCTACATGCACATATAATTGGATCCCATTAAGTATTCTGTTTTTCATATAAATATAATGAATACAACTTTGGAATCATTACTTCCCATCTGAGAAGCTTATGGCTGCAATCCTATGTGCACTTACTTGAGATTAAGCACCACTGAACAAAGCGGAACTTATTTCCAAGTAAACATGGCTAGACTTGATCTGCACAAGTATGTGAGATTATTTGGAGGATTGCGAGTGCTGCTGCTTTGTTATTCCAATAATATTCATCACCCTATCCTTGGTATATAGCAGAGTATTTTGAAGGAAAGAGTATCAACAGTATCTCCAACCTTCTCTTATTTCCATGGTGATGACACTGTCTGAATGTTGTGACAGCCAACCTGTTTCAGAATCCCTGGTAAACTGTACAATGGTGTCATGCATGAGATTAAAAAATAATAATCAAGTTTGTAATGCTAGAGAGTTTTGTATAGTAAAACTCAACAAATAAACATTAAAAGCCACTGGATTGACATGGGCTGATTTACTATAAGAGTTTAAGACAAAATAACACAATCAACAGTGAAGATGGAAGAAGGAGAGAGTAAAAGTGCATAGAATGAGGCACTTCATCCTAAGGAAGCAGAGAGGGAGGAGGATGAGAAGAGAGTCCAAGAAAGAAGGAAGGGATTGGGGAAAGCCCACGGCTACAAAGTCTTGGCACTAAGAGTAATAATTGCTCAATAGTAATTTATTTGGCCAAATCAAATAAACATTGAACAACCATTGCATCCCAAGTCCCAAGAAATGGGGAGTCCCAAGGCTGAGAGAATGTTCATCCTGTCATGTACTACCAAGCAGAAAATGGAAATACTAGACCCCCCTGATTTTTTATAGTATATCTTCATCCTGGTCTGGCTTTTGCACTCATATTCCCTGTTCCAGTACTATGAGACTACTTATGTAGGATATACAGTATTACATTTAGAGCAGCCTCACTTTTGTTCAGAGAAGCTCTATGTCTTTAATGGCTATGGCTTTTTCCGGTATGGAAATGCAGCAGTTGGAAAGCAACACGATTGGAATTTGAATGTCATGAAGTTGTTAAAGGCATCCCTAATAATAAATGCAGTTCAATCCAATGCATATTTACTCAGAAGCTTCCAGGCTGCGTGTGTCTGCATGCCTTCAGAACTGAGCAAAATATATTCAGTATTCCAGAGCCGAAGGCAAAATGAAAAACCTGCCCCGGAAGTCCACAGAACGCAACCGAACTTTTTAATTTTTCCACATAAAATCCCAGATATACCTGTGATTGGAGCTGTTCTAATTCAGAGAAAACAGTGAATGGGCATCACAAAACCACATCCTCAAAAATTATTTCCCCAATATCTCTGACATTAGCCTACCGTGTTTGTGCACACATTAAAATAATAGCAACATATTTATGCCACTTACTAAATTTTACATGCTGCTTCGCTCTTTAGAGATAAATATACTCTCATTTAGAAAATAAGTGATAATGCTTTTTTCCAAATTGAACTCCTGTCCCCTATATGTGAAATTGTTTTCCTCATCCGAGCAACTAAATATGTCAAAATGTCCTGAAATATCTTTGAGCCACCATTTGTAAATACTGAATGACAACAGAAATTATTCACTCCTTTATAAATTTCAGCCTGCCATTTTCTCCATGCAGAACCTTTGGGATGAGGACTTTGTTGACTGCAAGAAAAAAAAAATAGGTATAAAAGGAGAATTCCCTAGGTGGCAAGATTCAGGTTTGGGGACAGTACTCTTCAGTGAGAGAACCCAAGCAGAGTTTAAAAAACACAAAATATGTAGCAAAGTAAAGCGTGGAAATATAGGCAATTAGACCTTTAAAATATGTTCATATGAGTTGCAAAATGCTCCTCTTCCTCAGTATAGGAAAATACCACATGTTTGAAAAGTTAAAAATTAGGTTACTTACAAACTCTTCAAAGGTCTGGTTCATGTGCTTTTCCATATAGCATTCAGAAAAAGTTGAACGAACAACGAAACTTGACTTAGTTACAGTGGTGAAAGTTCCTAAATTATTGATAGGGGAACTCAAAAGTTGCTTATAAGAGCCATTCAGCTAAACTGAAGTAACCAGTTTAGACTCTTCACATGCTGAGCTTCTCAGACAGAATAAGGGGAATTAAGTCTTGATTACCTACTCTCTCCCAAGCTGAGCTACACCTGCCAGAACAGCTAACTCTTTGGTCTTAACCCCTTCATGCATTAGACTTAAACTTGTTGGTTATAGGAGGCTGGTTATCCAACAGATTTTAGGCTGAGTCCTGTTCTTTGACTTTTCAACAACAAAGGGCCACATATTTTGTCACTGTGTGTGTGTGTTTAGATACAAAAATACATATTTAATGCTGCCAAAATATTTTTTTCTTGAGTTGCATAACTAATGCAGGTATTTAAAGGACAGCATTCTTCAACTGTTTGGTTTCAATCAACCTATATTTTCCCCTGCCCTAATTTTCTTTTTTTAAGCAACCACACAACATTCTCCAGAGACGGTTGATGGAGACAAACATGTCCAGGTTGCGCCACAACCGGGGCAGCTGCTCTCAGAAGAACGAACTCTCACTCCAGACAAATAAACTGAATCAAATGAAACTGGATGGCCCAAAGAAAACAGAGCAAGAAGACCTCATCCTGGTGTGCTGCCAGGTATGCTTCATGGGCCTACATTTGATATTTCAGCCAGCCTTCCACTACAATGAGAATGCTGCACCCAATTCCCTATGTGGCCGAACCCAAATACAGCCAAAGCTTTATGTGGCGGCAATATTTGTGATCACAGCAGCATTTTTAAGAATCCATTGTGACCATGGGGGATCATTCTTAGTAGCTGCATCTGTCTCCACAGTGTGTTGGTGGGGTTACATTTCATGTTTGCTGGATGAATACATGCCTGGAGCCATCATGTGGAGGAAAAAATGCACAGTGTGAACCAAGCTATACATAAGTTAGGCAGATAAAATTGATGAGATTTTGAAAAGCACATCCTGGGTGATGGAATACTAAACTTGAATGAGTGTTCACATGTAAAGCTGAAGAATGAATTTCTTCAAGAGTAGAATTAGTAACTGAGAAATTTGCTTTCCACTGGTGATACAAAAAAAGGGTTCCAGAGATAGATCACAATGGTGTTTGTTTCCAGAACTCTACACTACAGCACAAATAAAAATCGAAGCTATCAGCTGATTCTTTCAAATACTCTGTTTTGCCTCAACAGTGCGCTGGGAAGGAACTGCAAGTTGTGGTTGATACTGGATGTCAGAGGAATATCATATCATCTGCATGTCTGGAGCGACTAGGGTAAGGAGTTTGTTTTCTAGACTGTTAGTTAAAAGCATGTGACAGTGTTCACCTGACCTCACTACTGCACACCAAGATGGACAGGGGAAGGGAGCAGGTCAGTGCTTTGCAAATCCTCCAGTGGGAGTGCCAGATCTGCTTCACTAATGCATTTGCACTGTGCTGACTTGGCGAGCACGCTTCTTTACCTTTAAGAGCTGGATGGCAGACACAAATTCCACTGGGGATGCTTTTTCCCACACCAGGAAACTGAGTACTTGTTGAATTTCTATCTGTTGCATAACTTTTAAAGGTAAAGGACTGCCAGACAAAAAGTTGACAATTTTGTTCTAGAGCAGGCATAGGCAAACTCCGGCCCCCCAGATGTTTGGGACTACAGTTTCCATCATCCCTGACCACTGGTCCTGTTAGCTAAGGATGATGGGAATTGTAGTCCCAAACATCTGGAGGGCCAGATTTTGCCTATTGCTGTTCTAGAGTGAGTTCTCATTGAACAGGTAAAGGTTGTAGCTTAGTGGTGGTGATGTTTTACATGCAAAGCAGCCCTTGAGTCTTAAGAAGAGCAGGAAAGACTCCTGACTGAAACCCTAAGAACATCAGAAAAACCTTGGTCTATGGTGTTATCCAACAATCAAGTCCAGGATTAATTTCCCACAATGGCCAACCATATGCCTATGAGAGGTTCACCAACATGATGTAAGTGCAATAGCAGTCTGGGCACCTATTGCCAGCTAGTGCAGACCAGGGATGCAGAACTTGTGCCACCCCAGATGCTGATGGGAATTGCAGTCCAACAATGTCAGGGGGGTGGCGGCACAGGTTCTGAACAAGGTGGTAACAATACTGAACTAGATAGATCAAGGAACTAGATGGGCTTGGTATAAGGCAGTTTCCTAGGGTGTTGCAACTTGAAAGTAGGTTTGCTAACTTTTCAAACTGGTTACTGTAACTGTGTTTTTAACAGCAGTGATATGAAAATATTAGCAAGCCAGGAAAATCATCTCTATACTTTGACCTTAAGTCTACCTTCTGCCCACTTCTGCTTTTAGAATAACTTTGTGTCTGTGGCTATGGTGCTTTGGAGCACTCTCTACAACTGTGTCCAAAAGAGGGGAAATGTTGTCTGATGTTTGTATTTGGACTTCCTTTTTGGAGTGTATCTCATGTTAAGTTTCTCATAAACATCTTGTTACAGGAATACTGATCAAACAATGGGGGTTGTCAGATGCAAATGAGATTAAAAGCTGTATCTGCAGAAATTCCCTCTTCTATACAACTATTAAAAGTGCAGGAGATCTGCCCTCTATATCAGTGTTTCCCAACCTTTTTTGGGCAAAGGCACACTTGTTTGATGAAAAAAATATTGAGGCACACCACCATTACAGCCCCGTGACGTCAGCGCGCAGCGTCACGCCGGGAGGGACGCACGAAAGTGTAACTTTCAATTTTTTCCCCTCCCCCTTGCCGGGGAACCTCCAAGCTTTGGGGGTGGGGGGGGAGGAGGCAGCAAAGCGAGGGACTGAGGGACCCTAACCCTAACCCTAACCCTCACCGATCACCCGGGAAAGCATGCGAACGAGGAACCCCCGTGTCCTGCTCCCGGCAGCGGACGGCACAAAGCGAGGAGGCCTGGACAAGGTAGCACGCTCCCCGCTCTCGCTGCATCGGGGCTTTTCTCCTCCAGGCCGCTTTCGAAGTCCCCTTCTCCGCTCCCAAGAGCCGGAGCCGCTGCTTCCAGGCCCTGTCCGAGCCCCGACTTGTGGCCTCACTTCGAGGAGCGCCTGTTGCTGGGGACGGGGCTGCATCCCCCTCAGCCGCCGCCTCGCTTCCTTCCAGGAGACCCGACGGCTCCCCCTCTCCCGCTCGCCCTCCTGCACCCGCAGCAGACCGAGACCTCCCCGCCCCCGCCCGGCTCGGCCCTACCTGGGCGCCTCCAAGCCCGGCCGGCTCCGCGTCGCGCTCCACGCCGGGCAGCTGCAGCAGGGGCTGCGCGGGGGCACGCGGCGGCCCGGCTGAGCGTGCCCCGGAGCCGCCGCGCCGTCGCTCGCGAGTCCCTCCGAGAGCCCGCGGGACTGACTCCGGAGTCGCGAGGCGGCGCGTCGCCCAGGGAAGGGGCGGCTTCCCACAAGCACGACGACCGAAAAGAGCCCAGCAGAGCGCGCGCCCCGGAGGACTTGGGGGGGGTCTGTAGGGCATCAGTGGCCCCCAGAATTCTGCCCGCCCCTCGCCCCATTTGATCCAGATTTACCCTCTGGGGAGAGCGAGCCCCGGCCCAGCAGGGGGCGCCCTCGCTCCGTCCTCCGGGAAGCAAACGCCCTCGCCCGCCTCCCTCCAGGCAACATCTCGCGGCACACCAGGCAACATCTCGCGGCACACTAGTGTGCCGCGGAACACCGGTTGGGAAACACTGCTCTATATCACCTGCCTGGCCACTCTAAAACCAATTGCTAGGAGGCTGAGTTGCCTGCTTTTGATCTGGCCCCTGCTAAGGTGCCTTTAACAGCTGTTTGATCTGCAGCAAATTAGCAGATGATGATGTGTGTTTCCATCTTGTGAAAAACTTGCTAATTCCTGCTTTTCAAGATGCTATGAAAGAGACAAGAGCAGGTCAGGCCCATTTCTTTTTCTCCGCCAGCTGGCAATCCACTCAGATGCATTGTTTGGTATGTCAGCAGCTAAAATCCATGTTGCTAATTGCAAAGGTGATGATAGATGTCTTTGCTAATTATTTATAGCTGTTAGCTTGTATTCCTCCTTTTTAGATATGATATTGTCTATTTTTTTATTGTTACAGCATTTGGCTGCATAGCATGATGTTGATTGAACTGATAAAAGGTTTATTCTGTTTTACGGTTAATCTTAACATCCTTCGAATTCAAGTCCTCTTCCAGTGCACCAGTCAGAGGTGGGAACACCCTAGTCATTTAAGAAAGACTTCCAAGGCTCCTCCTCTCTTGAAATAATGTCATACCATTTGGTGAATTTTTTCCTTAAAAAAACTCGAGTAAAGTAGTGTGTTGCAGTGTGGAGTACTGTTGTTCAGGGTTTGGGGCAGCCATCTCCTTGCCCAAGATACTCAATTTTATCCCCCACCTCCCTTGTTCTGCTTCCCATCAAAACAAACGCAACATCCTATGGGCCCTGAGCATTGGGCCCTCCCTTAGGCTTTTCTCTTGTTTCCTTTTCTGTATTTTTGCAAATGTTGGGAGTTATTTCAAGCTTGCTGATGCCTCTCTTGTGTGTGGATGGTGCTATTTTGGCTAAATAAAGAGCTGTATGCAGATTATTAGTTTGTTATTGGTATAGGATGAGTTCTCTGAAGGTCATGCACTCTTCCTCCTAACTGAGTCTTAATTTGCATATATATTAAGTTCAACCCTTGGACTTAAGCTGAGCCATTTTCAGTATCAGTGCCCTATCTTGAAACATGTGAAATACAAATGAAAGAAGTGCCTCTGAGCACATAAGGAGTGTGTAAGCCTTGCCACAACCCAGCACATGAATGTGGGCCTTTGTCAGAAGAGTTTTTATATTCCGTTGTTGTGACACAGTGGGGAGAGTTGAACTCCAGTCTGCTCTAATTTTTGAAATTATCTTAAAACCTTGTGGGCTCAGACTGTGCAATCTTAACTTGTGCCAGGGAAATTGGAGCCTATCTTTCTTGGGAAGGAAGGAGAGGGAACATTGAATGTAGTACTCGCCATATGGTGATCTGTTCTTTAGCCATGTATCTCAGCCAGAAGTACTGTCTACCAACCAGGGCAGCACAGAGCGTGCTTCCATGCCAACACACTGATAAATGTTTAAACTTTAGCTAACCAAATGAGATCTTCCTTGACAAGGCAATAAAAATTAACATGGGTTCATACACTGACTTGTTTAACTAAAAGGCAGGCACGAGTGCATTGCAATCAGTGCCCATGTCATAGAAGCATTCATATCTCCTATAAGCAGATCTTAATAATCTGAAGCATAGAAGATGGGGCTCAAACTAGTTATCTTAGAGACTGCCTGCCAAGTAAAAGGATTGCTGTTCTGAATTCTTTGCATGGAGGGTGGGATACAATTTAATTATCAAGCACAAAATACACATTAAGTAATTGCAATGTACTTTGCAGAAAATGGCTATGGAAATTATTAACATGTTAATCAGAATATTTAACGATGGCAAATTATATAAAGGACTGGGCGTCTTAGCTATCGGAACTGGTCATACACTGTACAATATTTAACTTGTTGGAAGATCAAAGGAAGAAAAAGTTGAGGAAATGGATAGAGCATTTTTCTCGTCTTTTGCTCTGATCCATCTAGCTCATTTAATAGATAGGAGAATGGGTTCTTCAAAGTAACCGTATCAAAGTGCCTTTAGCATTGACTCATCTCTGCATAGGTCATAAATCAGTCACTGATGACTCATGTTGCAAAGCAGTGCAGTAGAAAAATACCACAAAGGAGGCACAAATGAAAGTAGGTTCTCATGGAAAATGAAAGGAATTATAGCTGTTGGACAGACTGTTTTTAAAAAAACAAAAAAACCGTCAGTCCAGTACAGGCACACTGTTAGGACAAAGCTAAGAGTGAGGAGGGAAGAATAGCAAGCATTATGGAATTGTGAGTTCCCTCAGAAGTACTTGGTTTGACCCTATGGAATGTCACAAATCCACTAAGACACTGTCTCCTGTGTAGGCCCCACTGAAAAAAAAGGAAAAGGAAGGATTCTGTAAGAGCCCAGCCAATAGTATGTTGTGATATCAGAAGCATTTTTTTTAAAAAAACCCTTAGATAACTAAATGTTTATATAACCAACATTTTAAATTTAACATATAAATTTAAAAGATCCCCAAGATGTATACATTTCCCCAGCTCTCTCTCTGTGTCTCATCTAATCGCCTGCCTAATTCCATCATGCTCAGCTTTTCTTTTCACTATAGGAACTCTGCTCTGCTCTGGTCATCCTAGGAAGGTCCAAACATGGTGGTTGCCCATAACCCTGTTTGGATGCTGTAAGAGCATGGCTGAAAGCATGGGATGCAGCCCTGGAAGAGATTTATTATTCAAGGACACCTCTAGAGACGCTGCAGGAAAGTGGGTGTCCAGAACGCACCATCCTGACCTTGTCTATTATGTAATGGGGCAAGAAATTAGCACAGACTAAACTCCCCAGTGGGTTTGATCCACAGGGATTAGATATCCTATCCAAGCTCATCCAATTGCTGAAATAAGCACGGTGATGAAAATGCCCTAAGAAAAAACAAGTCTAAGAAACAGAGGGAAGAGTTCTCATTTTTAGCTGAATGGTAGTTCTGGTAGATCAGAAAAATCGCTATACTCTTCTTGAGCACTCCCCAGACGTGGACTTGGTTTAGCGTAAAGAGGGGGTATGTAAGAAATGAAAAGAATCCAAATAATCCTCAAATGTTACTTGACAGAGCAGTAGAACATTGTGTATTAGCGAAAGACAAAAGGCTTGCCAGGTTTTAATGTCTTACTAATTTGTTCCTTTTTCCCACGAGTCAGGCTAGCACAATCTGCCACTAAGCAAAAACATCCGTGCTTTCTTCTTTCTGTAAAAGTGCCCGTTGTCACCCTTGTTGTTCATATGAATTTTAGACATATTGGCACAAAGAATAAGATGTAACCAAGAAATTAAAAGTATAAGAGTGGGATCGTGACAATATAAATTAAAAGCATTTGCAGACAATGCGGTGATATCTGTGGAAGAACCAACAGAGTCAATCCCGAAAGTCTTACAAGAGTTAAAAAAAAAGGGGGGGTGTAGCAGGATTTAAGATTAATAAAGACAAATCAAACTCTTGGTAAAAAATATGAATGATGAGAACAAAAATTACAAGATGTGTCAGGACTAAAGATTGAAAGAAAGGTAAAGTATCTAGGTGTATACCCCCCCTGACCGTACGGTCCAGTCTTGACAGACTCTAGGGTTGTGCGCCCATCTCACTTAAGAGGCCGAGGGCCAGCGCACAGCAAATAATATAAACCTGTATAAAAATAATTATTTATCTGTATCAGATACTAATTACAGAGTAGGAATGACTATGCTCAGTTCCAGGATACAACACAACACAACACAAGTACTGGCATCCTAAAATGAACAAACTCCTGACGTAAACCCAGTGACTTTTTCCTTGTGCAGATTAAAGGAGCACATGAAACCCTATAAGCCCGAAGGCGAGAAGATTTCATTGCCACACAGTATGAAAGTGATTGGCCACATAGAACACCTGGTTCTTACCATGGGGACTATTCACGTGGATTGTTCAGCAATTGTGGCAGGTGAGTGTTCAGGCAGGTTAGATGCCATACAAGTATAGTACTTGTTAAACCTATTTTTGTACACTGTGGTGCAATTTGTAAGTTTATTTGGTAAACAGGTTTGGGAGGCTTTTGACTTGTTTCTAAAATCTGTTGGATTGAGAGTATAAAAATATGTTGCGGTTGTACCCTAAGAAGCCAAACCTCTCTCAATTCACTGTCAGTTTCCTTTTTTAAAAAAAAATCTATTTGGTTGGATCCAGACTAAATTAATCGAGCTTAGGGCTGTTGTGTGGCATACTTGTTAGAGTATCTTTCACCATGACTACTGGCTCTGCAAGTTAGGGCAGATGGAAGCTGCAGCCTAGAAGCATCTGGAGGACATCAGGTTAGGGAAGGTGGGCTAAAACAGTCTTAGCCAACCTGGTGCCCTCCAGCTGTTTTGGACTACAACTCCCATTAGAGCTGTTAAGCATGTTGGACTAGGACTGGGAAGACAGGTTCAAATACCCACTCAGCCATGAAGTTAACTGGATGGCCTAGGGCAGGGGTGCCCAACAGTGGTGTAGCGTGGGGGGTGCAGGGGGGGCCGGCCACACCGGGCGCAACATCTGGGGGGGCGCGTGCTTGCACTCGCAGCTCTCTGCCCCTACCTGGCTCACTCACTCTCTCTCAGTTAGGGGGCGCAAATTACTTGCCTTGCCCCGGGTGCTGACAACCCACGCTACGCCACTGGTGCCCAAACATTTTTCAAAGAGGGCCAGATTTGATGGAAGTGAATATGCATGAGGGCTGACCAAAGTTGAGCTTTTTTTTAGGATTGAAGAGCTTTTTGGGGGATGTCCCCCCAAGGTTTATTGACCTTTTTAAAGGATTTGATAGCAATAAATGAATGAACTGCTACAGGGGCCTGATAAAACCGGCCGGAGGGCCGAATTGGGCCCCAAAGCAGACTTTGGATATGCCTGCCTTAAAACTAGCACAAAATAACCCATATATAAAACACAGTACTTGTTGCTTCTTGTTATGTGTTACAGACACACACACACACACACACACACACACACACACATATAAAACACGGTACTTGTTGGTTCTAGCTCCTGAAAGCTCTATCGTAAAAGACCTCCAACCCCTTTGCCACCATCTATTTCCCGAATTCTTCCGTTGTCCCCCTGTTGTTGTCTTTTTATAATATAGCATTCATCAAGAATACAAACAACAAGTAATGGATACTGGTCACCAGCTACAAAGCGAAATGAGGTGGAAAATAATAGCAGCATGCTAAAATTGTACTTTGGCTTCAGGATCAGTGCTACAAACTTTTCTGTTTGTTTGTTTTTTGGAGGGGGGGAGGAAAGCTGCACCCTACTTTGCTAAATTCCGACTTATCCTCATGAGGGAGGTTATAATCCCACCAACACCAGCCCCATATTTTTTCCACCTCTCTGACTTCCCCCTCTCTCATATCTATATCTATATCGGGGGAGGCAGCCTCGCCTGCACAATAAGCGATAAAAAGAATGGCGCTGCTGCTGCTGGGCTTTTCTTCGCGGGCTTTCTGCTGGGTGGGGCGGGTGAGGCGGAGAGCGCTCTGCACATGCTCAGGAGACCCCTTAGCCCACAATAAACACCCCCCCGGACCCTCAGGAGGCAGCCCGGCCTCTCTTTGCGGCTCCCTACCTGCACTGCTCCCGGACGAGGCTCCGCCGTTCTCCTCCACGGGCATCGCGCCGCCGCTTCTGACTCGCGCCGGGTTTCAAACGCCTTGCGGCGCTTCCGGCGGAGTGAGCGGGGGAGGGGGGGAAAAACCGTGCGCTTTCCAAATATCGCGAGATAAAAGCGGCGGCTTCGCGGGAAACTGCCGAGACAACAAATCCCTAGACTGGCGGCCGGTGGTGGCTACACAGGCCACATGACGAGGTCTGGCGGGCCGGATTCGGCTCGCGGACCTTGTGTTTGACACCCGTGGCCTAGCGTCAATCACTGCCTTGCAACATAACAGGGTTCTTGTGAGGATAAAATGGGATAAAGAACCATGTTGCTGCCCTGAGATCCTCAGAGGAAGGGTAGGATATAAACTCTTTGTAAAAGGAAAATGCAAAAGCCTTACTTGCCACTGATTTCAATGAGAACTAACTAACATTAATTCCAATCCTCTAAGTGCAACTAACTCACTCTAGGCAAAACCCTATTGGATTAAAGTGACTCACAGTGGAAGGACCCATCCTCAGTAATGGAACACATGCTTGGAATGTACGAGAACACAGCTTAAATCCCTAGTTTCTCAAGTTTAAAAGGTTTAAAAGTTTAAAACCATTTACCAGAGATGAAAGTAGGATAAGTACATATACCAGAAGTTGAAATTCCTTTTTCCAATTGCCTTTTAAAACTTTCTTTCAGCTGTCTCCAGCCAGCTACTTTATAATTTCCATTTCACACATTTCTATGTGAATTTAAGCTTGTGCTTTGGACAGGAATGATTTGGGGACTGACCAAGAAGGGGATTATAGTTAGTACATTGCTTTTCCTAGCTTAATTTGGGCATGCAGAATCATGTTCTCTTAGAACAAGTGAAAGTATTAAAGTTATTAAGCACCTCTCAATACGCCTTTCCCACACCATCAAGTAAAGACAATCAGACTACAAAGTTCTGAGATTAAGCAGCAGGGTTACAAACTCAGGGTATAATTTATATAACTGTATTAGAAATATCTATATATTTATTTGGATAATAAGTATATATGAGTATATATGAACTGAAATTTTTAACTGTTAAGTGTCATAGTGATATACTAAACCCTAAAATAAATAATAATAATGATAGAGTATTATTTCCAGGCAGTACTGGGACCTCTCATGTATAAATGACAGCCTTTACAATTCTAAATTTGGCTCAACAGAAACTACCCTGAGATCACTAAGAATTATTTGCCATCAGCAATGATTTATTATCACTGTTCTACAGAGGAATCAATTCAGTGACTTAGATATAAGGAACAGGTCACAGAAAGAACGGTTACTTGCCTGAAAAGAAAATTCAGAAAGGAAAAGAAATTAATACATCCTTCAGCACTATTGATTAATACTTGGTTTCACAGAACAAGCAAAGGATAAGATTTACATAGTGACTGAATATAATAATAATAATAATAATTTATTATTTATACCCCGCCCATCTGGCTGGGCCTCCCCAGCCACTCTGGGCGGCTTCCATAAAAACCAAAAATACAATAATTAAGAAGGGTAAAGTTGAGGGAAGAGCAGGTTATTCTCCGGCTGCTTTAGACAAATTGAGTTGGCAGGGACCCCTTCACCGCACTAAGGGACCTAACACATCTCATGGAAATATGAGCTTGTGTATGTGTTAGATTGATTCATCATAGCATTTTATCTCTATCTGAACATGTTTCTCTCCCTTTCCAGAAGATAATGATAAAAACTTCTCCCTGGGGTTACAGACACTGAAATCTTTGAAGGTAAAACTCTGTTCGCCTCCCAACTTTTGGTATCCCCTATTTTCTTTTACTGAGGTGATCTTAACCTGTTGTCTAATTTGTTTTCTTATATTCCCTCTAATTTTAGTGTGTGATAAACCTTGAAAAGTATCACTTGATCTTGGGGAAGACAGACAGGGTAGAAATTCCTTTTGTCATTAATGCCTCTGCACACGAAGAGAAGTGAGTATTGAACTCTAAAGCTGCACAGATATATTTAGAGTGACAATATCCAGTCAAATCAGTGGCATAGTGAATGTGCGGAGGAAATGGATCCTGACTAGGGATGGCATATAATTTGAGGGTTTCATGATAGTTTACCATGTGCTATCCAAAGTATGTTTAGTGCAGCACGAAAAAGCTACTGTAAGTAGAGAACTGAATGGTGAAACTGTCACATTATTGAACTCGCCCCTAGATGTGAGTGAAGAAGATATGAATAGTTTTTAAGGTCTTTTTTTAAACACCAATCAGACTGAATATGGTTTAAAACATTGGTTCTGATTACCAAAGCCTATCATACAGGCAATGCGTTTATTTTCTGCTTCATTTGGCGGGTTTGCACTGGGATATCCTGCTTTCAGTAAGTGCTTAGGACACACTCCTGCATTTTAGTCAGGGAATAGCATGGAAGTTTCCAAGAAAGGGAGAAAGAAAGAGAAAATGAGACAATGGTATACCATTCAGCATTTTTAATGTTGATGGGGACCATATTGCTCCTGGGCATGTGTGTTAACTGTACCATGGGAGGTTTATTTCTGGAATATTTTTTCCCCAAAGAGGTATAGAATTACAAAGGTGATGAAATAGGCTCTTTTACACCGAGAATATAATAAATTAGGCTTTCAGTTGCCCCAAGTACATTTGTGCCCCCTTTCCACAATTTAAGTGCTGATTAGGAGTTTGATAAATAATATATATAGGATCTATGAAATCTGAAGTTTTAGGTAAGGAAATATATTTTGCACACAGTTATGAGGTGCCTTGCTTGCTAAACAGTTATTTTCTAGGGCACATCCTCATGGCAGCCACCTGCGCTCCTGGTTCAGAGCTGTAGGACACAGCTGGAAGCCTGGGAAGTGTCCCTGGAAAAGGCAGGTACCTTCTTCCTCCAGGATATCCTGTGCTGGCCATACAGGTGGTACAGCCCAGGCTGGTCTTATAGCCATCCCTGTCAGCAGAGTGGGCAGGCTGGGAAGCAGCATGGGTTGCATGCAGCCCCTGGTGCTTATGGAGTGTGGGGTTGAACGACTGCATGAGCACATCCAGCCCCCAAGTTAGCGCTATGTGCATATGTATTTGCTATAATGAGACCGAGCTTGGCAAAAAACCAAAACAGAGCCAACTCTTTTGTCACACTGGTTTATGCTTCTCATTTCAGCACTTCTGAAGCCTGAAGAGAATGCACAGCTGGCTTCAGAGAATAAGGCTTTGTGGTTGAAAGGAGAGTCGGCAATACTGATATCCCCACCTTGCTAGACTGTAGCTAGCTTGTAGCTAAATGAAGGAAGGAGTCTAGGGCAACTTCAGGCATTCACTCACCATGCCAAGAGTGTGGACAGTGGACTTCTAAAAGCACATCTGAGTCCACTCTTAAAAATGATGTCCTCTTTATGGTCATCTAAATATGAAAATGTTTCTTTTACATCTTTTTTGTTATGAATGGATTATTGAAATGAATTGCCTCTTGTGAGACTGAAAAAGACAATTTTTATAACTTTTGAACTAACTGTATTTAGCTGCAATGAGAGGCTGTGAGAATCAGATTTTTAGAATTATTTTTAAACAGAGAATGATTAATAAATGGACATGATTGGGTTCAAACCAGAGCTTATTTACAATTAAATAAGTTCATCCGAATGCTCACGTAAGTTGAAGAGAATATATTTTTTCCAAGGGTACTGAAGGTGGTTTGATGGAACTATTGTTGCTTGTATTATTAGATATTTTCCAAATCTCAATATCTCAGAAAAATGTTGTTCTTAATTTCTCATTATGAAATATTGGTGTCAACAGTAAGAAGGTGGAGCACAATTTAAATCTATAGAATACTCAGCTTTTCATAATAGCATAAGAAACTGGATTTCCAGATTTTAAACAAATTATCTAGAACCACAGTGTAGCATACATAAGAATTTTAATGTCTACTTGTTCAGCATTAATATTTTAGTTTATTTTCTTCAAATTTTGTTGCATAATTTTCTCAGTTGTGATTGTTTTAAACTGTATCTGTGAGCCTTTTATTAGCCCATAATTCCTGGCAAAAAGATAATATCAGTAGACAAGGACAGACCTCTAAATAGTTACCAACATTTTGGCATAATAATTTTCATCACTCCTTAAGGCTGGTTATGAGATAATTTTGGAAAAAACCATTTCATTCTTGGTTTAAATATGTATTCATCATCTTAATGCCTAGATACTTGTTGCCTTTGTATCTCCAAGGCATTCTACAATATATATATTACTAGAATTTCAGGTGTATTTACCTTTATCTTGTAAGCAGCAAACTCACCAAATAATCTAAAAACATTGAGTTCTGGACTGATTCTTCAGCATGGTTATTGTTTTATAGTATAAAACCAGATTGAGAAATGAGAGAAAGAGAGAATGAGTGTACTGTATATAAAAATACACTGTGGGAAACAATGTTGCTATGGCAGCCCCTTCCATTTTCTCTAAAAAAAATGAATATCCGTGTCCTGTCATACTCCCTTTGGGGTCATTCTCACTAATGGCATGACTGCTTGATTCCCAAGAAGAGCAATTATCACTCAATATTATCCACCGAACAGGGAATTTTAACACTTACCACCAGAGACAATATTACAGTAATGATATATATTCAAGCAGGCTCTCCACTGTTCTAAACATCATATGATGAGCCACAGGGAAAGAAAGAACCACTTCCTCCCTGCTCCTGGGCAGCACCTTGTTTCTTTTATTCCCTTAGAGCAGGGCAGTCCAACACATGGCCCAGGGGCCGTATGTGACCCTTGAGGCCTTTTTTGGCGGCTCTCAGCAATATTTAATGCCCCCCCCCCCGCCCTTGCGGTGCCCTCACAAAGCTGGCTAAGCAAGGCACTGAGCTTGGGGAGAGAGGCATGAAGACTCCCCCAGCCTCCTTCCCAAAGCCTAGAAGGAGCTAGGAGGGCTCTAGGTACCTTTCAGAGCCTCATGGTGCCTCCCCAAAGTCCACCTCACTTAGCCAGCTTTGGGAAAGCAGTGTGAGGGCTGGGGGAGCCTCAGATTTTGGCCAGGCTCCCCCTCCCTGCACATGCATGCCAAGGCAGTGTGCAGCCCATGGGCTCCATGTTGAATCACTCTTGCAGCCCACTTGGTATGAAAAGTTGGACTACCCGGCCTTAGAGTCTCATAAGTCAATAATGCTGTATGTTATGACACACTCTTCAGCGAACTATCTGGTTTTCTCCATTAGGCTGATAATACCACAGACAATTCCTGTCCTATAACTTCTTGGCACTGCTTTCTATAATGGTCTTGAGCTTTTTGCTACCAGCAATAGGTATTCTTCAATTGGTTCTGGGTGATACGTTTAGTTGTGCAAATTTACTCAAAAATAAGTGTGTTGTGGCCGCAGTGTGGATTAACAACATGTGTAGCACATAATTGTCTGATTGTTTCAACATGCAGTTCAACTTGCACTAGCAGCTACGTTACAAATGTGTTGAACTGCAAACTGAAGTGTGCTCAAGCAATCGTAAAACTTATATAGTATGTGCTCAAGTCTGCATATATCTGCTTAACCCATATTCACAACAGGCTAGGGTGGTCTTACTTGTGCACCAATCCATATAAACAAAAATAGCAAGCAATATATACAGGAAAATGATCTTACACACATGCACTCTCTTCCTTCCTGAGAACATGGGGAGCTGTTTTGTATATAGACACCCCTCTCCCTTGCTCCTTGTTCAAGCTATTTTCTCTAAGCTTCTGTCCATAGTACACCTCAAGCCACCATACCAAGCTCCCATATATGGAGCTGTGTGGTTAGCTATACGACTATATGATTAGCATCACAGATGTGCTTCTAATTACACCAGTTAATTAAATGCTTTGCAGGAAAGAAGCTTTGGTAGACTTGGGTGTGGGTGGGTGTTGTCAAACCATCAGGATGCAATACACACTTAGACACAACAGATCCCTTTTAAAACTTATCTAGTAGACTTTGTACTGAATATGCACTTACATTTTGAAGAACCCTAATTAAATTCAATGGAAATAAGTACTGGCATTGAATAAAAAGGGGTAGAGAACCAACGCTTTTAGGCTAGCGTTAGTTTTCAATATTTGATCTGGTTTGGTCATTCTGGCAGTGACCACAAAGAATATGCAATGGCTACAACATCTTTAGCACTCCCAAACTAGTATATATATTTTAATAATTTGTAGTTTGGCTTTTTGCAATGGGTTTGATAACATCCATGTACAGCGCTGGTGTTGCTCACAGATTTGAAGTATAAGTGTTTGGATATATTTTTATCTTTCTGTGCATCATTGCCCTCAATACTTATATATCTATATTTACAAAACAAAACTTTTATGTGTTTGCGAGGTGAACTGCACTGTGTGTATACCTGCCAACATGTAGTTGAAAAATAAAATATATTTGTCTATGCTACTTATGTGGCATTTGGCTACTTTAGTGTTTATTACTGTGATGATTATGAAAATAAATAAAATGTAAAACTTCTATTAAGGTGTTTTAATTTCTGCTTTATCTTCTCTCATGGTATGTTTTGCCAAATACACACCCTGATCCAGAACCCTCAATGCTTTCTGGTGCAAATATGGTAGGCCTTGTGTCCTACATTATTAAGGGCAGTCCTAGATTAGTAGCAGTGGTAGTATTTCAATACCATCCTTCATCCAAGAAACACAGGGCAGTTTACAATATAAAAAGACAAAAAATCATACCATAGTATATCTGAATGGCAGTCTGGTCTGAGCCCAGTTAAAAGATAAAGAACAATAATAAGGGAAAGCTGTAGCCTTTAAGTTGCTCTTTAACTTTTAGCACCTGGGAAGCAGACTGAACAGCTAACCTGCTCACATCTTCCCCACTAAGGTGAAATATATTGCATTTCTATTTATATTTTAGTAATTATCTTCAAATTTAAATATATACAAATAAATTAGCATATGTACAATTTATATTAATCTGCATCATCTTTTGTTCTCTCTTTTTTCTTTTTGGCATAGCCACCCTAAAATATGGAGCTGCTGTGTAAAGGGTGGCTCTGACTGAGATCAAGTTCTGCAAGTGCAAGTGCAAGTGCAGGGCCTTCTCATTCTTCTAGAACAGATTGCACCCCGTATAGCAGAATGTACAGTAATAAAAGTGAATGGGAAATGTATGTGTGCGGAGGGGGGCCATGTTTCAAAAAGTCACTGGAGGGGGAAAAACAAGTAACAGAAATTATTATTGCCTCAACAGCTGTGTTTCAGGAAGGTATTTGGATCCCTCTGGTTACATCTGGCCAACAACATGTGACCCCATTGTTAAGGCATTTGCACTGGCTGCTTATCTACTACCAAGTCAGGTTCCTGGTCCTTGTATTAATTTTCAAAAGTCCAGACAACTTCAGTCCAGGGTACTGCCAGGGCTGCCTGAAACCTTATATTCCAGCTCAATCACTGAAATAATCTGCTGGAGCATTCTTGGCCGTTTCCTGAGTTGGCAAGGCTCATTTAACAAGGAACCAAGCTTTTAGGCTCATCAGTCCAGTATTGTGAAATACTCTACCAACCGAGATTCAGAAGGCATCTTCTATTTCAACTTTCAAATGGCCGCTGAAAACTTTTCTATTCCATCAGGCCTACACAGGCAATAAATAATACATATTTCTTATAAACAAGTTTCTGGCCTCATGCTGTGGGACCACCAACTCTCAAACATGAAAACCAGACCACAAACATACAGCAGAGCAAAATACCCACAGATTCAATCAGGTTATCCGAGGCACATGCTGCAAGGGGAAAGCAAAAGCTATTACTGGGCATTTGTATTGAATGTTAGTATTCTAATGTTATTTATTTATTTATTTTATTTACTTAAAAGCGATTTTATCCCACACTTCATCCTGGTAATGATAGGCTACAACCACGTATGCTGCTGCTGTTGTTGTTAATAACTAGCAATTTATCTCCTGGTCATTATATATCAGAACATAGTTATCTTTCTATATGAAACATTTTGATGCTGAGTTCCGGGAGACAAATGAGGGAAACTTTTGCAGACTTCTTTCCTACCTAATTACGCTCTCAGGGGAGCATGTTGTCCTGGCTTTTATTTATGGCACTGGTATACTAATGGATCTCAGATATTTGAACATAGCAAGGGCACCTTATTTCATGTTTTTGTCAACATCTAATTGGCTGCCTTATTTTAAAAGGCGTCATGATGAAAGCAGAATGTACATTGCCTGTGTTCTTCTGTCTTTCTTCTTCTGCGTAATGAGTAGTGCATTGGCCTTTCATCAGCATGAAAGTCTACTGCCATTTCAGAATCCACTTTTTCCATACTGAGGAGATATTCTACATTTAGGGTTGGGCTTTTTTTAATGGGTATTAAGCATATTGACAATGCTTCCACCTTGAGTCTCTCACATGATACAGTCAGTTATATTTGTGCCTTTACAGGATCTAGGCTTAACTGCTACAAACAAAAGTCTTTGCTGGACTTGCTTTATTGAGAGAACAATTCAAGCAAAACTGAATTTTAGTGGCTTAATTCCAGGCCAGTCGATACTGAATATGACAAAGTCATGGCACAATGCCTCACAACCAAGTAGATACTATAGTAGTCTGACATTTACCTCACAAAGAAGTTGGTCAACATTTTTCCAGTCAACAAGCACCACTTTTGGATATTCTGACAACTCAAGTTCCAAGAATGAGACAGCTGTAGTCATATCACATACACCTGGTTCTTATGTCTCAAGTTAGCCAACCAGGTTTAAGTTCATTTCATTCTTGGGGGCGGGGGGATACAGATCTGTCTAAGGTTATTGCTGGGCATTTAAAGGACTGAGGGCACAGGGTAAAAATTTGCATACAGTAAGCCTGCAACTTACGCAAGGGTTATGTTCTGGGGATCATAACTGAAGCCAACACTGCATATAGTCAAAACCCAATGAGTTCAATGGCAGGTGGGAAACCCACCCCTTTCCTAGCCCTTAATTATTATTTTAAATTTGCCATGCATATATAGTTGTATGCACACAAGTTAAATGTGCTTAAGTTGTGGGCTTACAGTACATTAATTCATATGAACATTTAGACTGACTTTTAGAGGAGGGAAGGCAACCCTTGCTCTCATTCAGAGGACTCACTCTGAACCCTGAAGGAGCAGCAGGATTTTTACACCCAGTATACTGTATGTAGATTGGGTCCTCCACCCATGATATATTAGCAAGAACTGCTGCTTGTGTACATGTTAAAACTAAAACAAGTCATGTCTAATCTTACATGATTCCTCTCACACACATATACTTCTCTGCCCTCCTCTCAACCTGCTTACTGCATGTTCTTACAAGTCCCCTGTTATCAGTCAGTACCATCCAAACATGATATCCAGCAACCATAAAATCAACAAAAGCTCCCTTCAGTCATTCTACTCATAAAGCCAACACGTGAATGTAGAGAGCTCTGTCCCATCACCATCTTGTTCCCTGCACAATTTAGAACCTTGAAAGATCAGAGTTCTGAATCATCCAAAGGTCTCCATCAGTAGGCCTGGGTGACGTACTGGTACATTGTGCAAAAATGGTTTTACGTCCAGATCATGATAACAGTTTCAAAATTCCTGATCTCACAATATATCACCCCTGGCTACTTATCTGCATAAAGGCTTGACAATTTGAGGCAGCTTTACTGAAGAGCTTCCAGTCCTAGGCACTGCCTCAGGCAGTGCCTTTATTTAGCTTACTTACAGGACCAGCCTTGGGAATTATGAGCACCTTTCACTAACTTCAGTCCAACTCTTCTTGACTTGGAGTAAAGGGTAAGTTTGCTATATTTAACTTAAGATTATGCTCCTACCTCTCATTGTGGGTGGTGTGAAATTCCATAACACTAATAAACCATCTGGATAAGACAGAAGCCACTCTATTAACAAGACTCAAAATGGAAATCTTTTGGGGAAAGAGGGTTTCCCCCCCAGAGATTTCTGGTTTAACACAACATGTCAAAATTACTGGGGTCCATGAGCAGTGTCTGTGTCACCTAGCAACCAATGTTTCTACCAAGTCCATGTGTCCGTTTGAAAAAAGAACCAGGCTTCTTTGTCATAAGAGGAAGTATTCTTTTCACAGGGCTTTGCAGGTTATTTCAGGCTGGCGTGCTGGGAAAGTGGTGCCTCTATTTAGAAACCCAATGTACAGGAAACACTGTCAGATAACTGCTCTATTAGAAAATCTTTGTGAGAGACCCTGTCCCTCCACTACAGGAGCACATGATAATAGCTCCTTCAGAAGCCTCTCTGCCCAACTCCAACCAACATTGTTAGTAGAAATGCAATTTTTATGTGGACAAAAGGAAGGTAGGGTTACATAAGAGCCCTGCTGGATCAGACGCAGTGCCCATCTACTCCAGCATCCCCATTAAAATTTGGATTTCCCCTTTCTGAACCTTTTCCAGCTGCTTTTTAAGGAGGAGCAACAAGAACTGTTGCATTTAATAGCAATATAGTCACCGTCCCCAGTTGGTTCAACAATAAATTCATCTTGTTCCTAGTCCTGGACATCACTTAAGATTAAGTCCAGCTTTGCTGCCCCTCTAGCTGGTTCTGTGACAGTTGGAAGGTCATGCTCCAAGTTTGCTTTCTGGGAAGGAAGTTTGGAAGCCTACACAAGCACATTTGTCAAAAGAACTTTTATTATAAATGAGGGAAGGAACGTATCTTTTCTCTAGCATACAAGACTGTATCCTTTCCTATAAAATAAACTAACACCACTTTTTTAATATAATATGATCATGAGACATCCAGAAATTAGAAAACAATGTAGCATTAATCATTCCCAAAATATAATATTGATTGTCCTTGAATCTTCCAGCCACACTTGCCATCCTCTCCTGTCACGCCAGTATGGTGCTCTACAACCTTTGAGAACTAGTGCGTATGGGCTTGCCTTTTGCTTATACAATAGGCTCCCTTGGTAAGGGTAAAGGGACCCCTGACCGTTGGGTCCAGTCGTGGACAACTCTGGGGTTGCGACGCTCATCTCACTTTACTGGCCGAGGGAGCCGGCATACAGCTTCCAGGTCATGTGGCCAGCATGACTAAGCTGCTTCTGATGAACCAGAGCTGAACACGGAAACACCGTTTACCTTCCGCCAGAGCAGTACCTATTTATTTACTTGCACTTTGTGCTTTCGAACTGCTAAGTTGGCAGAAGCAGGGAGCAAGCAACGGGAGCGCACCCCGTTGCGGGGATTCGAACCGCCAACCTTCTGATCGGCAAGCTCAAGAGGCCACAGTGCCATCCGTGTCCCTTGACTCCCTTGGTAAGTTTCCGTAATTTATAGCCCTGTCTAGCTTTCCTCAGCTGCTACTTCAATTAAATCAGGTGGTGGTCCTTTGAAAAACACAAGGAAGTGTGGCTCAGCTACTGGGCTGAGTTTGTACTCAGTTCCAATGAGCAGAACTTTGAATGGAAAACTTAGGTCAGTTTAGGCCCCTAGCAATGGGAATGTTTGTCAGGGGAGTGGACAATGGCTGGATTAAACAGGGATTAAAGGGAGGCTGTGGCTAGATGAAATGTAAATTGGAAGTTAAAAAAATATTATAGATTTTAACTGATTTTGAAACAGAACCAAAATCAGAGTTTTTAACTTGGGCTGAGACCTATCCTTACTCTTTGGTTGATAAGTTTAACCAAAGCTTACATGAGTTGAAATGAAGTTTTTGCAAGTGTAAGTTTACCCTCTAGTTTTAAGTTGTAATTCATACTCTAGTTTTGAACTGTTTTTCAAAGTGAACTGAAAGCTGTTTTTTAAGTTGAACTAATTTTTAATTAATGCTTAAATGTCTGACTTGGATTGAGGCCTACCCTTATGTTTTGCCCATTATTATATAAATTTATGGTTGCTGTTTACTGCAGCCTCTCAACTCTGGACTGGAATTTAGCTCCTAGCTCACAATGCCCTGGAATTTAGCTCCTAGCTCACAATACCTCTGCTGTACCCTATTTTAGCAGATTAAATAAATAAATAAATAAATACATACATACATAGAATGAATGAATGAACACACTTACCTTCTTGAATGACTTGCTTGTTAATTTAATGCTCTGTCACTGGGGCTTAGATGCTTCATCAGCTGGGGCTCCTTTCTTGCTCACAGAAGTTTTAGTTTACTCCTTGGAATAATTATCCATTTTTCAACATAAAATGACCTATAGACATATGAGCTAATTAATCTGGCATTTGCAATATCAACTTCATTATTTTTTCATAGCAGTTTTGCACACACTGAGCTAAAGAACTGTTGCAAAGGAAGCTTGGGAACTCTGTTGTAGCCTGCCGGCTTCTCTCTGCAAGATAAGGTCATAAGGTGTTTGCAATTGTCCCATTCTGTGAGTTCCAATTAGAGTTAATTACAAACTTGAGGAGCCCTGTGGCATTTTAAAATGAGGCTTCATGAAGATCTTGCAGCCCATGATATGAGCTGATACAGTACAGGTCAATATTCACGCAACACAATCCTATGTACGGTATCTTTACTTGGAGGCAAGCCCACTGTCCTCAGTGGTACATATGCTCAGATCTGTGTGCAGCGGGTTACAATCTAAGTTAGCCATGAGAGAGGACCTTGTTTTGTTGAGTCACATGGAAAAAAAGGATGAGGTCTAAACTGACAGCTATAATTAGAGACCCATGTGTCAACAGAAAATAAACCTGCAAAAATAAATAAATAATACAAATGAGGGGGAGAAATGAGTAGAATGACTTGGTCATCAAGGCAACAATAATTGAGGCCAGGTATAAGAATGTGCTGCTGACACATTTCTGAATCCTTATGAAATAGTTTCCCTAAGCAGTATGACGTTCCAGGGGCAGAATTCCAGGCTTCATCTCCTTTTAAAGTAGGTAAATATCACTTACGGACACACCGTTAAGACCATATTCATGGAAGACAATCTTAATTGGCTATGAGTGATCACCAAAGAAGAAGAAAGTAAATCCCACTGGAGACCTATGGTGTTTTGTAATATTTGATTTTACTTACAAGTTGAACACTGGTTGAGATACACAGCATAGAACTCCTGAAAACAGCAATTACACTGCCCTGCATCAGATCTCCAGAGGCAGTCTAGCATTCTGAGATGCTTTTAAACTTCCAGAGCTCAAAACTCACTTTCATTCTCAAGCTGCAATTTCTGTCTCACTATCCCAAAACCCTTTCTGTTGTTCTGTTAAAACTCACCAGATCTTGTTTATATAATCCATTGTAGGTGGGGGATGAGATGTGCCACTACTCCTAAACACTAATGGATTTTCCTATTCAAAACACTCAAGGAAGACCTACCTATTTCCTAACCATCTTGGGCCATTTGCCTGTAAATTTCCCTAACAAAAGATGAGGCTGCAGTGTTTGGCTGCAGCTTCATTAACAAAACCCTACAAAAGGACTTCAAAACTTTGGATGTTTTGTACATCCCACCATGTTGGATTTCTGGGTGATACCTATGAGCCACAGTTTGACTATTAATTACCGTATTTTTTCACTCTATAGGACGCACTTTTCCCCCTCCAAAAATGAAGGGGAAATGTGTGTGCGTCCTATGGAGCGAATGCAGGCTCTCCAGGCTTCAGGAAGCTATCCACAAGCCTTCGGAGCATGGCAGGAGTTCCCGCCGGGCTCCAAAGGCTTGTGGATAGCAGCCTGCAGCCCGAAGCCTGGGGAGCACAGTGCCAACTCCCGCTGCACTCCCCGGGTTTCAGGTAGCTATCCGCAAACCTTTGGAGAGCTCCCCCAGCCCTGCAAGCTCTGGGAGCAGCGGCAAGGCTGCGTGCAACCTTGCTGCCGCTCCCGGACCTGTTCTGGGGGCTGGGGTTGGGGGAAGTTCGGGCTTCCCCTGCCCCAGCCCTGTGACTAAAAACGAAGCCAAGACAGTGAGTGGGATCCATCCCGCTCGCTGTCTTGGCTTCTGCCAAAGCCGTGAGCAGCCTCTCCCGGCTGGAGAGGTTGTGCGTGGCTAAAGAGGAAGCCAAGACAGCCAGCGGGATGGATCCCGCTGGCTGTCTTGGCTTCTTTGCTCTTTGGGGCTGGGGGAGGGGGGAAATAATTTTTTTTCTTTATTTCCCCCCCCTAAAAACTAGGTGTGCCCTATGGTCTGGTGCGCCCTATGGAGCGAAAAATACGGTACTCAGTTTGGGAGGTGCTACAAAATGCACAGTTCTCATTACAAAACCCTATGAAACAACTACAAAACTTGGGCACCAGTTTGAAGTGAATCAGACGTTGGATTTCTGAGTGTTAACTACAAACTGGCCCACTCTGATGAATCAATTACTCAGTTTGGCGGGGGAGTACAAAACTACTTCAAAACTTTGGCACTGGTTTTGGGGGGATCCAAAACTTCAGGATTTGTAGTTAATGAATTGGCCACTGCCAATTCAAGAACTTTTAAGCAGTCATTCACAGGGTTGGCTTAAGACTTTTTCTTGCCTGAGGCAAAGGACACTATTATAGCGCACACACACACACACACACACACACACAACATACACATTCCATGTATAAAAGCTGCCTAAACTGGCAGTTAAATCTTATTTCAACTCTGGCAATAGGACAGTGTTCTCCAGTAGACTTGAGAGCAGCAAACTAGTTAATGGGGTGACGCAGAGGCAACATCTTCTGAAAATGATTTGGGGTGGGTGACGTCACACGTGCAATCGTGAGGAGCCAGGGTGCATAGTTGAACACACAACCCCCTCCTCCTGCTGTGCAGTGGCTTCAACTTGAACAAATCGGAATCCAGATGTTCCTGGGCAGCCTCCCCTCTATTCAGTTTGATCATGCCAATGTAATGCTAGTTCTTCATTATCTGCTTCCAGACCCCTCTTTGTCATATAAATGAAACATTCAAAACACAGATTTAGGAAGCAATCTACATTCCCCTTAAATGTGTTTGTACTCCTAGTCCTGACCCATTTCATACTGTGTGCCTTCTAGATATATGCACCGTGCTGCTTTTTGTAACTGTGTTACTTAAAGCCATAGACATTTCAATTGTGTTTCATTTCAACAAAACATTGGTGATTAATTGGAAGAAGAAACACCTTCAGGAGATGAAAGTCTCACTTGGAGTACAGCTGTGAAATGTAATAAAGACACTGGTAGTGGGGACGGGAGCTGTTTTTCTAACAGTTGTCATGGAAACACAGAGCAAGTAGGGCATCTGCTATGCTGTCATCATACTCTGGAAAACCTTGTGAGCCTGATGACATAAAATCAATACAGTGAAAGCTGTTTGGGGACAGTCAGTTTTTGGTGCTCCATCAAGAACCTGGAGGTTAAATAGGGCCTTGGTGCTCATATGCCTCTGATGCTGGTTAAACTTCAAAAAGCATCCAGTTGATTACAGTCTATTACAGTTGTTGATGTTGCATTGTTGTTGTTTTTTAAAAAAATAATCTCCCGAAGACCTAATGCAATACTGGGTGCAAAAGTGTACAATCAGTTTGACTTTGACAATTTCCAGAGGAATACCTTTTGCAGCAAAAATAGCAACCTTAAAGACTAACATGTCTATTATGGCTCAAGTTGTTGTAAACTACAACCCATTTACTCAAACACATGAAATGTTATACTGATGTTGTTATCCTAGTTGCATGATCATATGAGTGTGTTTTTTTGGGGGGGGAGACAGAAATGGTATAATGTGAGGTCAAAGGAAAACAAAATGCAGAAAAGTACAGTCAGGAATAATTACATGCTGAAGACAGTTCTTGATTACTTGAACACCCCAGCACTAATAAGACAATTAACACATGCTAAAAATACTTTGATTTTGGTTTCTTTACCTGTTTCTTGGATGTATATCTAGCGACCTCTTCAGGTCAACATCCCAAAAGCAAACTATAGCAGAACCAAATTTGACAATCTGACAAGTGGTGCTCATTTTCCTCTTCAGCCTGAGAAAAAGCAGTTAAAAAGAAGAGAAGCATAAATAAGATTCCATTATTAATTTCTATAGCTGCTCAAGAGTGCAAACTGTTTTCTGTCCTTAAAAGGTAAAGGGACACCTGACCGTTAAGTCCAGTTGTGGACGACTCTAGGGTTGCGGCGCTCATCTTGCTTTACTGGCCGAGGGAGCCAGTGTTTGTCCGCAGACAGCTTCTGCGTCATGTGGCCAGCATGACAAAGCCGCTTCTGGCGAAGCAGAGCAGCGCACGGAAATGCCGTTTACCTTCCCGCCAGAGATGTACCTATTTATCTACTTGCACTTTGACATGCTTTCAAACTGCTAGGTTGGCGGGAGCAGGGAGCGAGCAACGGGAGCTCACCCCATTGCAGGGATTCAAACCACCGGCCTTCTGATCGGCAAGCCTTAGGCTCTGTGGTTTAGACCACAGTGCCACCCGCGTCCTTACTGACCCGTGACCACAATGACCCGTGAGAGCCAGTGTGGTGTAGTGGTTAAGAGCGGTAGTCTCGTAATCTGGGGAACCGGGTTCGCGTCTCCGCTCCTCCACATGCAGCTGCTGGGTGACCTTGGGCCAGTCACACTTCTTTGAAGTCTCTCAGCCCCACTCACCTCACAGAGTGTTTGTTGTGGGGGAGGAAGGGAAAGGAGAATGTTAGCCGCTTTGATACTCCTGAAGGGGAGTGAAAGGCGGGATATCAAATCCAAACTCTTCTTCTTCTTCTTAACCATTCTCAATTCTAAGCATGTTAACTCTGAAGTAAGTCCCATTGACTTCAGTTGGACTTACTTCCAGATTGGTTGGTTGGTTATTTATTTATTTATTTATTTATACCCCGCCCATCTGGCTGGGCTTCCCCAGCCACTCTGGGCGGCTTCCAAAAAAATATTAAAATACTGTAATACATCAAACATTAAAAGCTTCCCTAAACAGGGCTTTAGTACTGCAGACTGGCAGGTAGGTTATAATATCCCAATTTACGGGCAACAAACCAAGGCTGTGATTAACTATAACCAGGGTCGTACATTGATGAATAAATGGTTGAGCAGGAGGCTTCTGTGGTCAAAGGGCAGCTAACATTTGGATCACTTAAGAATGCACTTTTGCAAAAGATTCCAAAATATCAAGGAGAAAAGCTTTGGCTTCCGACCTTTAGGGTCAATGTGGCATAACTTATGAAGAAGAAGCAAGCAGCAGTGGATAGAAACAGTATATTGTGCAGTGAAGAATGGAATTGTTCTAGTCTGCTGAAAACATAGCTTCACTTCCACTTGGAAATTCAGCATCGGGTTTTTTTTTTTGCCAAAGGCAAGGAAACTCTAATATTAGACTATGTACATGAACCATGTACACAAGTTGATAACAGCAACAAAATAATTTGAAACTATACACTGCAATGCTAACTTCTGGACACCATTAAAAATGAGACCTTCGCTTACCAACAAGTCAAGAAGTTAGCTACACAGCAATTGAAATGTTCCTTATTGTAAACTAATTTCTATACAACTCATATACTCAGATTGAGTCTACTATTCTAAATGGGAGTCTTAGACTTTTGATACAGACCTCAATTTCCGAAGTTTAATTAATGTCCAAACCACTAACAAACATGTGGAAGTAAAACAGGTTATAGCACTTTTAAAATGTACGGTATCTCTGCACAATACCGGACAGAGCTAGTATAAGCCTATATAAGGACCCCTATGCTAGGGGTCGGTCTTAAGGAAGATACATATTTACAAGATATAAAGACTTGTCCCATTTGTTCAGGCAATCCATATGGACAACACAGCTGCAATACATTTGTTTGGAAAGGGAGTGGGTTCTATCGCCTGTCTTACTAAGACAATCCCCCATCACAATGAGGGACACAACACCTGACCAAAATGGAATCAGCATGGAAATGCCTCACAAACTTTATAGTTTCCCACTCTTATTAGTGAATCATGGTCTCCAGTGAGGTGAGCCATTATCAGACCATCACAACCATTCATGACCCTGAGGTAAAAAGTTTGTGGCAAGAACTGTAGCAAACTGCCTAGCTGCTCTCTAACTGAACTGAGGGTCAGCAAATTAATAAATTCAGTCAAATGATGTGAAACTACATGCAAAAAATATGTACCTTCTGTAGCAGTTTTTCATGTGTGGTTAATTTGTTTTCACACACGTTATAAATAAAGCTTGCCTCCCTACTAAAATAAAATACTGTTTCCACTGGATTTAACCACAACTAAGAATATCCACATGAAAGCAGGGTTGTTTTTAATTATATTTTCTGCAGAGATGTCACTTGCTTTTGAGATGGCAAATACATAAGGAAAAAAAATACTTGTTCTTTTTCAGTTCCTTGGCATGAATATTTAGACAAAGGCAATTTTCTTCCCAGTAAAGACCAAAAGCAGGCAGGTGGTTGAACAGATCGGGAGAGTGGGTTGGTGAAACTGGCATCAAAGTACTAATTTGCAGTTGCAGGAAATGGCTATAATGAGATTGATTAAAAATCAGGGGGTGTGCAACCTTCCCTCTGTCTCCTTTAATCTGGGCACATATTTATTAGCAGGTAATGAATCATACTCAGAGAAATCTACAGGCTATAATATACTTATCACATACTGCTTAGTGATTATTTGACAAGCACAAAGGTTTAAAGGCACTTTAAGCTCAAGAGTGGTCTGAGACATCCAGATAAAGCAAGGCAAATATCTTCATTGTTCCAGTACTGAAAGCTAGCTATTAAATGACACAGATTACATTATTATGCTAGAAATTCAAAGAGAGATAAAGATGTTGCTGTACCAAGTTGTGGTATGCAGCCTTATGCTCAATGACACTTACTCTGAGTAGACATGTTTAGGATTGTGCTGGAAGGCAATGCTACAAGTATGCATCAAGCACACATGCGGTAAATACACTCCCCTGAGCAAGAACACAAACAGAAATTAATCTGACACTATGAAGCTCTGCTGATGTGAACAGCTGGTTGGGTTGGGGAAAACACACAGAAAAAACAACAACTTTGCTGCACTTTAAGGCAGTAATATGAACACACTGTAAGATAGTGGGGGCAGGGTTTTGTGCCATATCTATGCATTAGGGTCTCAGAGGCAGCACAACCAGTTCCTCTGCACTGGGCATTGAACAGGCCGCAATGTACTACAACTATGATGTAGCGAATTGAGCAGAAAGGAAGGCAAGAGGCCAGGGTGCCAAATTTTGGGCTCACACAGGGTACCATTTGAAAGACCAAAGCCTGCCCCTGAGGGTGTACTAGGGTGGACAGATAGATGCAGAAGAAAACTCTACCTTTAATAGTTGTGTAGAAAATGAAACATTGTTATGTGGCATACCTGCTGAAATTCCTTCTTCTACCGAGCTACTAAATGGCAGGAACTTTGTAGTACAGTGGTACCTCAGGTTAAGTACTTAATTCGTTCTGGAGGTCCGTACTTAACATGAAACTGTTCTTAACCTGAAGCACCACTTTAGCTAATGGGGTCTCCTGCTGCTGCCATGCCGCCGGAGCACGATTTCTGTTCTCATCCTGAAGCAAAGTTCTTAACCTGAAGCACTATTTCTGGGTTAGGGGAGTCTGTAACCTGAAGCGTATGTAACCCGAGGTACCACGGTATTAGAACAACCAAATAAAGGTTGTTCAGCCATATGCAATGAGGATTTCCCTCAAAATGAGTAACTTAAAAAGGGCTACAACAGTCTAGTATAGCTTGAGCTGCTTTGGGAAGTCCCCTACTGTAAGCGTTCACAAATTTGCAGCAACAATCAAGTTGTACTTTTATGTGACATGCCTCTTTATAAGCTTTTACCATGAACGCATTAAGCTCGCCAACGTCCACCCGGCAAACAGCTGTTGAAGAAACAAAAGCCAGACCAGAAAAAGACAATGCTGCAATATTAATTCAGGTCTCCACCTTTGGGGCCTCGATTCTGACTCGTAGCAGCAGCATCAGGAAAATGAATGGAGGGAGGTACAGAAGTGGCAAAATGGATTTGGGGGAGCGCGGCGGGAGGAAACTACGCCCCAAAAGTAAGATTTCGGCAAGAGAAATAATAAAAGCATTTCACATGAACGCTCTCATCTTAAAACACTTCCCCCCCGCCGGCAAATCCTCTTGGTTTCGATCGAGCTAACTTTCAAGTAAGCATATTTAAGGTCTGGAGTCTCGATTTTGACGTCGAGTTTCCCAGAGGAGAAGCGCTGCTCCTTCAGGAAACCCCACGGAGGCCTTGTCGCGGGGGCTGAGGGGAGCCGCCTCCGTCTCTACTAGCTAAAAGCAGGCGTCGGAACTCGAATGAGAGACGAAGAGGGCCACACCGCTGGTTTTATCTCCTCGCGTGATTTCGCCGTAAGGCCGCGAGACTGCCCTTCGAGCAGTGGGCGGTGGGAGGAGAGCCCTTTCCCGAAAAGGAAGGCCCCGCGGCGTCACGTGACGAGGCGCGGACGGGCCCGAGCCTCTGTCGAAGGCGGAAGTCGGGATGGTTCCGGAGCTGGGAGTTCGCGCCCCGCCTCGGCGGCGATAAGGGGAGGGTCTCTGGGTTGGCTCGGCGCGGGAGTCGGGCATGGCGGCCCCGGGAGGAGCGCGGGCGGCGCTGTGCGCGCTCCTGGCTCTGGCCGCGCTCGCCGGGCACGTAGCCGGCGAAAAGGTATGCGACGCGCGCGCGACCCCTCCCCGTCCGTTCCCGTGGCGCTCGCGCTCCCTCTCCCTCCACTGAGTCCGCCCGCTTCCTCTCCAGTCCCCGGAATATCTCTGCATCTAGGAGGCAGCGGCAGCGGAAGCCGCCCTCTCCGGAGGGTTATGTTAAAAAAAAAAAGCTTATGTTCAAAAGGCCAGGGCTTGTCAAATCCATACATTTAGGGAATAAGGCGTCCCCGCTTCCCCACCACCCGCAACGCCGGGGCTGTCAATCTCACCTCCGTCACTGACGCTTGCTTTCTCGCTATCGACGACTTTTAACTTCTGAAAATGCATATTTCTACAGCACTCTTAAAATATCCCTTAAGCAGAATGCATGTAGGAGCTCTCCTTCAAAAAGAAAAGAAAAAGTGGTAGGGCGAGGTAGGAGGATTGCAAAGCACAGCAGAAAGAATCGGTTTTCGGACAGGGAGGCTTTTGCAATGTCATATGTGTTTATCCGATTTACCCCACCCCGAAATGTTTGTCGTTTTCTCATCTCAGATGTCGTGAAGAGCAAAGGGAGGCATTTTGCTTAAGCTTATAATTACAAACATGTTTAACTTCGAAATACATTCCACTTAACTGAATAGTATTTGATGTTGACTTGGGCTTGTTGAGAGTTTTAGTGGCCACCTTTAGCTTTAGCATCATGTTTGTGGCCAACAGCAGTTACTATGGATTTTTATGATGCTTCTAATTCTGACTGCTGTCTTGCATTCCTATCCTTTGTTCATGTTGTCATCTTGTGTATTTAGACATCTGTAGATGTCTTCTTTTCTTCTTCTTTGGCAATCACTCATAGCCTAGTAAAATTGACTTCCATGAACACAGTCTTAGCAATGTGTCCGTAAGTGACTGTGGAGGCCATAGGTTTCTGGGTGAGGATCACGGTGAGGATTTGACGTGCCTTACTCTTAGCCTTACTCGTTTCTCCCTTTCCTCCTGAGTTCATGTTCAAAGTCCATGACGCCTTTGGTAAAGGCTATTCTCAAATTGCACGCTTGCAGACTGCATTTTGAAGATTTGCCTCAAGAGCGTCTTTAAACCAGTATTTTGCTTTCCATTCTTAAGTTGGGAATAGAGTAGTTGCTTTGGAAGATGATAGTCAGGCATCTGAACCACATGACCAATGTAGGAGGTACATAGCTTGAGGTGTGTTGGCTTCACATTAATACACTACCAAAGGAGGTAATCTATCTAGTTCCCATTTTTACAGTTCTAGTCAAACCAAGCATGGTTCAATTTATAGAGCCAAACATCTAATCAGAAGTGTAATTTTTGTGAAGTTTTCTTTCTCTTATTCATTTTTTGAAGGTAGGTTGAAGCCTTTGAAGACATATATAAATTCCAACAGGGTAAAAATCATAAATACTCTGTAAAAAGAGATGCACTATTGTCATTATACATCATTTATACTCTTAAGTATTATTTTTTTAACATGTTTCTCCTGTTGATTGTTTTTATGTTTTGTTCTTGATGGTAAATCCCTTAGTTCTAAGCTTGTGTTTATTTTTCAGAATTCTGAAGATGTCCGATGTAAATGCATCTGTCCTCCTTACAAAGACCATGCTGGCCAAATTTTCAGTAAGAATGTTTCACAGAAAGACTGGTAAGTATATGACACTTTTGTCTTGTTCTTGTACTCTTAACTAAAAATTTTGCCCTTTATTTAATTGCCATTTCAAAGGTGGAAATTAATCCTCATGCTGAGCCTAAAGGTGCAGTAAAGGCAAAAGATAAGGAGCTGTTGAATTTCAGGCTATTTAGTAAACATAGGTAATAAACTATAGTTTCTTTTTTATGATGGAACTGAAATACAACAGCATTTATGAAAGAAAAGCCTTTAGTTCAAAAATGGTTTATTTTCAAGCACTTGCATTTAAGGCAATCAGACAAAACTCCAGTTCTAATATTTTGGCATACCTTGAGTTGGCTGTCAAAAGTAGTCAAGCAAAGGCATGTGGGTTAGCCTAATTTGTATATATGAACTTGAAACAGTGTCTTTCATAGCGCCTTTCAATATATAGGGCAGCTCTTGGAGGGAAAAACAGTATTTCCTCTCAATGAATGCTAATACCTACACTGTGGTGCTTTTCTGTTAGCAGGGCCAGCATAGGGGCCCTTAGCATGGAGCAGACAATAGATCCAGAATAACCCCCACCCAATCATGGCGCAGGCTTACTTGTGGTGGCCACTGCTACCACTCTGAGGGTGGCAGCAACACCAAAACCACTCGCTGCCTTCCACCATGGTCCCACACACGGTGGAGAGGCAAGAACACTTTTGAACAGAAGATGAGCTCTGCTCCCATTCACTCTGGACTGTGGATCTATGAAATCAATACATTTCATTGTAACATCCAGACATTACGTTTTGGGTAACTTGAAAAATGGTGGGCGGCCACCGCAAATGGGAACTCAGCTTTGCTCTCTTTCAAAAGAAAGGCTGCTCCCTAGTGCTGAAAAACATCCCACAAGGAGATTAGTGAATGGTGACCTGGCCAGGTCAGGCTGGTGACTGCTGGCCCCAGTCCTGTCTATTAGTGTAGTGACTGGAAGCTTTTCTTCATGACTAGCTACACCAATGTATAACATGCCCTTTGGCGATAGCTACTATATGCTCCTTAGATGATACCAAAGTAATCCAACTGGATGAAGTTTGGTTTCATTTACAAACTTTAGGAAGTATGGTTTCATCTTCTTTCTGGCTCAACCCAGAATGATTAGATGTCATAGGCATTAGCTTGGAAGGTTTTATGAGGCTAGTAGCATACTTATTTAATGCCTTTGCCATGTACTGAATCTCCTTAGGTTGGCCATCATGAATTTGATCATTTGCCCTTGTCATTTGAACAATGCAGGAGTCAATACAAACAGAGTGGAACAATTAATAAATTAGCTGTGATAAGTAAGTGTTGTCCAGAAGGTATATGAAAGCAGCCATATACAAAGGACTTGTAAATTTGGTTTTTCATGCACATGTTCACTTTCATTGAGAAAAGTAAGTGCATTCTGGCATATACAGTTAAACCCTCTTCTAATGAAGATAAAGGGATGGTACAGTGCAGTTCCTCACAGTGTAAGCCTCATTCTGTGCTTGAAACCAGAGAAGAAAGGTTTCCATACCAATACTGTCTTGTCTGTATAGGATTAGGCTTTTAGTAGATCGTACAGGAAGAACGCATGGTAGTTCCATAAAAAGAGTGTATAGTATTTCACATGGTGGGAGAACTCTTGACAATGTGAAGTAGGAGGGAAAGCAGATGACAATTGTAGCAATCACACCTAACTTTCTGTGACCACTTGCCTATTGAAAATACTCCACTTCTGCACCGCCTTCAATTCGACAGTTGTTCCTGCCTGCAAAAGAAGGAAAGAAGGTTTTTCTAAGATCTACAAATTGCTTCCTAGGCTATTGCATGCTCTTTTTGAACATCAGAATACCTTTCAGTATGGCTAGAGTAAAGAGATGTGTGTAGAGTAAAGAGGTATGTGTGATTTTGGGAACCAGATGGATTGTTGCCAGGGCAAGGATCTCTTCTCTGAACATTTAACAATCACTCCAGCTGGTGTTACCACTTCCATGCACCACAGCTGATATCCACTGAGGGCTCGTGATGGTGATGAAGATCCGGGAGTAGAGCCTAGCAAGTCAGACAGGGATTTAGAGATTCAGGGCCTTCTCTTAGATACTCCCATGCTGGCATTTGTACTCTAATGTGTTTTCCTCTTCCTAAGGGACTTAAGTTCTGTTGCACCAAATTAAATATTTAAGCAGATCATTATTTGGGTTAAATGTCAATTATTTCTAACTTCCAAAAATATGAATAATAGGTTGTGAGTTCTTGATACATTCAGCATGTGTTCTCACTGAAGAAGATGTTTTTTTGCAATGTATAATTTTACCTAAACTTACTCTGAGCACTTTTTCCTTTCCACCCAGTGATTGTCTTCATGTTGTGGAGCCTATGCCAGTTCCGGGACCAGATGTAGAGGCATATTGCTTACGTTGTGAATGCAAATATGAGGAAAGAAGCTCTGAAACTATTAAAGTAAAATACCTCTCGGTTAACTTTTTTTTAGAACTCAAGCCAGTTAAAGCTCATTTGTTAGGTTAAGACTTTTGCCAAAATCCACATTTTAGATTAGACAAACCTATAAAGTAAAAGTTTGTATAGTAGTACCTACATAAATTGCATAAAAATCCTTCCAGAGAAAAAATATATACTAAAATCATGACTCTTGAGTATTATGTGTGTGATGCAGCAGCTACAGTAATGGAATGTTGGTAGCTAGATTTTGAAGAACATTTTTGCCCTATATAATATTGATTCTGTACTTTGCTTAGTGTAAATAAGCCAGCTCTCCTATTTGGTTTCTTTCTACTAACCACAGTTAAGGGCTTTCTACAGTTTGTCCAGGTTCAGTTGTCACAATAAACTGCAGTTAAAATAGAAGCAGAAACTTGCAAACTCCTCACAGCGATGCCAGAGGAGCACAGGGGGTACATGTGAGGTCAAAGAGTGTTACGGCTTGTCTTCATAATGCTAAACTATTGTTTAGCATCACTTGTGAGTG